CCTAGGATGGGACAGAGGGGACAGGCTGGAGCCCCAGGACCGGACAGAGGGGACAAGACGGAGCCCTAGGATGGGACAGAGGGGACAGGCGAGAGCCCCAGGCTCGGACAGGACGGAGGGGACAAGAGAGAGCCCCAGGACGGACAGGACAGAGGGGACAGGTTGGAGCCCCAGGACCAGACAGGACAGAGGGGACAAGACAGAGTCCTAGGATGGGACAGAGGGGACAGGTTGGAGCCCCAGGACAGGACAGAGGGGACAGGACCAGAGCCGCGCTCCTGAGCGCGCCCCCGAGCGAAGTGGAGGGACGCGGAGAGGGAGGGGGAGGGCGTAGAGTCCTCGAGCTCCACGCTGCGGCCACGCCCCCCGACGAGTGACGTCACGCCACGCACGCCCCAACGCCGGCGCCGGCGAGGTCGTGGGGAGGAGGCGGGACTTCCTGGGTCGGAAGCGACGAACCCGGGAGCGTGGAGCGGAGCGGGTCGTTGGGACAGGTCCTCAGAAAGGACGCGGGCTGGGGGAGGAGGAAGCTGTGCGAGTCTCCCTCGCTGTCCTGGCCCTTTGCGAAAAGCGTCGGCGGGAACATGGACAGCCGCCTCCAAGAGATCCGCGAGCGGCAGAAGCTGCGCCGGCAACTCCTAGCCCAGCAGGTCAGTGCCGGGGCGGGGGCGCGAGGCTGTGCTGCCCGTACACGCGGCCGCCCCGCGCATGCCCGCTCCGCGCACGCCCGCCCCTTTCCTCCGCGCATGCCCGCCCCTTTCCTCCGCGCATGCCCGCCCCGCTCCCTCGGGCCCCGCCCCTCGGCGGGCTCGCGCTCGTGCCCGCGGACCCCCGGACACCCGGGACGCGCTTCTGTGCGTGGCGGGGCTGCCGCCTGCAGGAACCTGGGGCGTGTTGATGGAAGAGCTCGTGGGGGCGGGGGGCCGGGGTCCTCGCCCCGCCTAGAGGAGGGAACGGAGGCCCGGGGGAGCCAGGCTGGGCTGCGGGCGGCAGAGGAGCCCGCGCCGGGCCCGCCCGCCCCTGCACCGGCCCTCCTCCCACCGGGCCGGGCGGCCTGCCTCAGTCTCCCTCCGGAGCCGCGCCGGGCGCCCCGCCCCCGTCAGGAGGCTGCCATGGACCCCTGCGGGCAGAGCCCTTCGGTCCCTGACTCTCCAGCGCGTGCTCCTTAAAGCGTGTCGAGCGTCTTGCGTGTCCCGGGCTAGGTGTGAAGACGGTGTCCGGGACTCGTTCTTAGAACCCGGGGTCCCGGGGTGCCTCCCCCCTCCCCCCGCCCTGTCCGCGGGCATTCCTCCTTCCCTGGGCCGGATGCCCCCAGCCGTGTCCGTGCCCCCCCCCGGGGCATCCCTCCTGCCCTGACCCCCCTTACCATGGCCTGCCAAATGGACGGAAAGAGCGAGACCCCCGATTGCCTCCTGCCGTCTGCCCCCTCGCTCTGCTCTGGCGCCCTCGTGCCCGCTCGCTCTCCCTCCCGTCTCAGATCCCTTCTCCTTGGCAGTGCAGACCCCTCCATGGTCCCTTGATCCATCCCCTCCAGACCTCGGTGGCAGACTGTCCCCTCTTCTTCCTGGTCCTGTCTCCCATCTCTTTCTATCTGCTGGCTCTTCCTCGGTTTCTCCGAACCTATTCATTTAGTCCCTAAAAAAACCTCCCTGGATCTGACCATGCCACTAGCTCTCATCCTGTCAGTCTTCCATTTATGGCTAACCTCCTTGAGAAGGCCCCCCCATAGTCCACACCTCCTTTCCTCTCTCATTCTCTAAGTCTGCTGCAGTCTGGCTTCTGACCCTGTTCTGCTGAAACCACTGCCTCCAAAGTTACCAGTCCTTTCATCGCAAAATCTGATCGCCTTTGTACAGTTCTGGTAATCCTGGGCCTCTCCAGCATTAGGCACGACTGTCTGTCGCTTTGTTTTCTCTGGGTTTTTGTGACACTGTTCCCTTCCTGGTCTTCCCATCTCTGTGACGGCTCCTCAGCCTCAGTTGCTGATTCTTCGTCTGCTTCATACTCTGCAACCACAGGTGTCCTCCAGGACTCTATCCAGGGCCCTCTGGGATTTTTTTCTCTCTACTGCCTCCTTTGGTGATCTGGTCAGCTCCCCTGATGCGTTATCTCTGCAGGTGATCCTGTGATCTGTGTGTCTCTCCCTAGCGCCTCTGCTGAGCTGTGGTCAGCCACATTCAGCTGCCTGTTGGCCATCTCAAGTTGAGTGTTCCTTCTTCAGCTTCCTTCATCATGACGTATTGTCTTCTCCCATAAGACTGTAAGCTCCTTGAGGGCAGAGGCTATCTTTTCTACTCAGTATGTGTCCCTAGGGCTTAAGCACTGTGCCTGGCACATAGTAGTAGGTGCTTACGAAATGATCATTGACTGACATGTCCAAAAGAGAGCCTCTCCCCTTGTCCCTTCTGAAATTTCCTGTGCTTGTTGAGGGGACCTCCATCCTTGCAGTCAGGCTCCCAACCCCAAGGTTGGCATCTTCACACCTCACTCTCACCCCACATATGCATTCCATGCCAAAATCTGTCTGCCTCCATAACATTGCTTATGGACACGCACTTCTCTGCCCTCATGCAGCTGCAGCCCTGGCTCAGGTCTTCATCGCCTCTCACCAGGACGGTGGCGGGAGCCTTTTTGTGGGCTCTTCTCTGCCTGCTCCATGCTGTCTTCTTCCCTTCTGTTGCCAGGGGGATTTTTCTAAAGTGAAAGTCTGACCTCGTCACTCTGCTCAGTGAGCTCTGGAGATGCCCTGTTACCTTCAGGATCAAAGATAAATTTGTTTGGCATTTACATTCTTTATGACGTTCCCACTTTTCCAGTCTTCTCGCACCTTACTCCCCTCCACCATCTCTGTGGCATTGGCCTTGAACTCGCCACTCATAGCTTCTGTCTGTCTTTGTGCTGACCATCGCCTGTGCCTGTAACGCTTTTCCCCCCTCATCTCTGCCACCTCCTTTCCCTGGCCTCACCCCCGCAGAAAGCTTTTCCTGGCACCCTCGGCTGCCAATGACTTCCCCAGTTATATTGCCTGTGTCCCCTCAGAGATTTCAGACATCCCTGAATATTTACATATCATCTCACCGGTTAGAGCACACACTGTACGAGCCAGGGCTGTTTTTTGCCTTTCTTTGTACACCCAGCCCTTAGCACAGTGCCAGGCACATAGGGAACACTTATTAAATGATTGTTGACTTACAGACTAATAGCTAACATTGATTTCTCTGATCGTTCTCTGTCACTGGTTAAAGAGGATTTTAATTAATTAGTTATTTTAGTTGATCAAGAGATGCTGGTGACTAGAGTTGTCAGCTGCCTGGTGTTAGAATATACGATGATGTGGGGGGTAGAGCCAAGCGTGGAGGCAGGAGACCTAGTTCTCCTTTGTCTCTTTTGTCAGCCTTGATCCCTGTGACCCTGGCCAGGTCCCTCCCCTCCTCTGGGCTCCAGTGTTCTCCTCTGGTAAATGAGCGAGTTGATTTTGATGATGTCCAAGTGCCTGCCCAACTCCAGAGTCTGCGCTGCTGGGATTTGCTGTGCGGCCTCAGGAACCCATCAGCCAGCAGGCCAGACTGATAATTCAGGGATGACGTCTACGTTACAGCATCCTTACAATGTGCTCTCGCTCCTCGAGCTGACCATATCTTACATGGGACAGTTTCTCAATGGATGAGTTGCACAATTCGGTTTGCCGTTCAAGACACCATTCTTTATGGAAAGAGCCGCGAGATCAGGCCGATTGCCTTCCCGAGGTTTGTTTCGATGTGTGCCACCTCTGCTCTGGTTCAGAGTGCCGCCTCATGTTCTGTCCAGTCTCAGTTGGAAGCACCTCCGTCTCCGTGGCATCCATAGGCCTCTTGAATAGCACCATTTTTACATCGTCACTGGAAAGCGCCCTGCTGGGGAAAGCCCAGGGTGAAGAAGCTCTGGGGGCTTAGGGCTGGAAGGGACCCCAGAGGCATCTGGTTCAGGCTCTGCCTTTCTCAGGAGGGAGGCAGCAGGCCAGAGATGGGGTAGCTTGCCAAGATTCGAACCCGGCTCCCTGACTCCATATGTGGTCCTCTCTGCTACTTCGGGCTGCTGCATTTTCTGGACAGGATAGTCTCAGATCTCTTGGGATTTATACCCTAAGACATATCACCATTCTATATGTGTGTAGGTATTTGAATAATAACAAATACACAATGGAATTAAGAATTTATATTTACTGTCATTGTAAGCGCAGGCACGTCACCTGTCTTGTCCTGCCAGCCCCTAGAGCTGCCTGGTCCAGTGCCGTGGTCTCTCAGCCAGCAGAGCAGCCCAGGCCCTTGTTGTCATCTGCCCTAAGGTGCAGTTTTGTGGGCTGTCTTGCATCTGAGATTGCCCATAAATAGTGGCAAGAAGACATCTGTCTGCTGGCTGCCTTGACCCTTCGTGACTGTTACATCTGGGATGGTCCAGGAAGTCTTCCTGGAGGAGTGTCCCTCTCAGAATTAGGTAGACTGTTGTAGAGAAAAGGAAGTGGTGAGGCTCAGCTTTGAAAATGATGATGCCAGACCCAGAGTCCAGTGGGTTTTCACTGAGTTTTACGGCCTTCTTTGGGAAGGTGATCCCTTGATCATCCCAGATCCCCAAACTTCTCGACCTGGGACTGTTAGCAGAATCCCCATGTGTGCCAAATTTTTGACCAGTTGCCATATTTTCAAAGAAATACAGATAAAATGGAATTTTTCTAGAAAATCTTAGGTAGGATCAGAAAGAGCCATTCAGGGTTCCTAACATTTAAGGCTGGAAGGGGCAGTGGGGCTCATCTCACCTAACTCTTGAATACCTGTGCTGAGCAGGCGAAGTGACCCGCCCAGTGTCACGCAGGCAGTGAGGGAGTCAGCTGCAGAGCCAGGAGGCTTCTGGGACACTGCGCTCTGTCACAATTGGGACTTTTCTGGTGCAGAAGTTTGGATGAGACACCAGGCTTCTTTAAACCAGCTTTTTCGTTTTGTTGAAGATGGGGAAGGTAATAGACAAGATACTCCTGACTTTTCGCTTCGTGTGTAGTAGTTCTAATCCTGGTTTTAGTCATGGTATTTAAATAAAAAATTTGAACTCTCTATAAAGTCAACAGAGTTGGATATAAAATTGTTCTGAACTGAAGAAATATGTTCTCTTACATTGCCATGAATTATAGCCGGCCTCCCCTGTGAGAGTCCACAGGCTGGCTATTTTTAAAGTTACACATTTTCTATTATTTGTTGAAAAGTCTTTCCCCTTGTCAGCAAGGCTGAGGCTTTCAGCCACCACCTGCCATTGCCACCCACCTTAACACATCTTCTGTTTTTGCCTGTTCTCAGTTGGGAGCTGAGAGTGCGGACAGTATCGGTGCCGTGTTAAATAGCAAAGACGAGCAAAGGGAGATTGCTGAGACCAGAGAAACTTGCAGGTTAGTCCAAAAACTGATTTTCATCGTTTGCTTTAGTAAAGAGCATGTGGGAAAACCTTTCTATTTTGGTGAGCCAGGCATCTTTGGAGGGAATTTGTGCTCTCAGCCTGGTTTGCGGCGAGAGGCACTGAGCACAGTGCTCAGGCTCACCAGTGCCCTCCGCCCCAGGACAAACCTCTGGGGTGCTTGACTGGAAAGCGTTTGTTTCAGACTTAGCTGGACCCCAGGCAGCCACGTAAATGTAGCCGCTGCTGCTATCAACGTGCTGCTGGTTAGATGCTTCATTTTCTTTAATTAGAAAAAAAAAATCAACTTTTATTGATGTCTTTGTCATTCTGTCACCTACCTATATTCTGCACCATATCCCTCTACCTCCTGCTGGAGAGCCATCCCTTCTAATAAAGGTGCTTCGAGGTAAATCCTATTAACAGAGTTCCTAAGACTTCTCTTCCTTCTCTTGGTCTGTTCACTCCCCTAATCATGTCTGGGGGGCCCTTCCTGGGCTGACCCGCCTGCCGGCCTCTCTGTTTACATACTGGTTAGGCTTTTTGTGAGAATGATGTAAAAAAATACCAGTACCAGCCTCAGGTTAGAATCATAGTTAAAGAAAGCCTGATTAGGGATACTTCAGACTGAACCAGAGACATTAGGCTAAAGTACTGTTTTAATGTTATTCTGTAATCTGGAGCCTACAGAAGAATGGGGGGTGGGGCTCAGCACTCATTTCTCCTCCCTCTGCAGTCTTGATTTCCGCTTCATCACTCGGCTGAACCTGTTCTCCCCAAAGTTTTGCCGGTGAATTGATTTCTTCTGCCCTCTGTCCAAAGCCTGCTCACCTCTGGCACTTTGAGTTCCTAGTCCTTCTGAAGGCTCCTCACAGGCGCCCTCACCTTCCCGAGGCTCGTCTTGGTGCCTCGTCCTGATGCGTCCTCTCCAGTTGCCTTGTATTTATCTTGTGTATTTTTTTGTACCTGCTTATATGTGTCCACATGTCTCCCCTGATTGGAAGACTACGAGCTCGTGGAGGGCAGCGACTGTCGTGTTTGTCTTTGTGCCCAGAGCCTGGCACAGCCCTGGGCACTTAGCTAGGCTCTTACAAGGTGCTAGTTGATTGATTAATTACATCAAGTGAAGGCCAAGCTTGGCCTCTGAGGTTACCGTTTCTGAGCTTCTTGGCCTCTCCATTACCTGGGCAGCTTCAGTGCACGTTAATGGCCTTCGCTTGCTCTATGTTCCAGCCACGAGGCATCTCTTGCTCTTCCATCTCATCCTGACCTTTCCCACCCCTCTCTGTGCCCACATAGGCTAGGGGTCGTCTGTTGAGGGCACTGCCTCCTTTGAAGACAGAGGCTTTTTTTGTGCTTTTATTATTGAGTCCCTGGTGCCCAGTGCTTGGTTGGCACAGAGTAGACTTTTCCCAAGTGCCTATAGGACTTGCCCCCATCCCACCCTTCTCATCCTCTCTGTACTTGTCATATCCCCTCAGTACAATGTAAGCTTGTTGAAGGCAATGACCCTCCAGAGCCTGGCATAGTACCTAGGAGAGCACTTAACAAATGATAGCTTTTTTATTTGTTGAGTGAAGGACCTGCATCGGACCTTTTAGTACCTAGCACGATGTCTTGTATTTTGTTTTTATTTTGAAGTTTATTTTTTACATAATTTTTTTAAACTTTTTCCCGATTACATGTAAAGACAATTTTTAACATTCATTTTTTAAAAAATTTGAGCTCCAGATTTTCTCTTCCTCTCTTACCTCCCCCCAAGACAGTAAGCAGTTTGATTTATGTTATGCATGTGCAGTCAGTCCATGTATTTTAGACTCAATATTTTGTTGTTGTTGAAAAAGAGGGGGAAAAAACATCTCATTATGTCTGTAAAATGTTTAACTCTGAATTTCCAGGGCTTCTTATGACACGTCAGCTCCAAATGCAAAGCGCCGATATTTGGAGGAAGGGGAGGCAGATGAAGAGGACGTAGAAGAATATAAGGTAAGAAGACACCAAGGGGGCCTCGTGTTCACGGAGGAAATACTTAGTCGTGAATTTTCCTGGAATGAAAATGCTGTTCTGTGAGAGAGTGTCTGATCCTCGTCTGTGTGGAACTTAATGACTACAGTTTTGTAAAAATCATAAATGTTAACTTAGTGTATAGAGTAGCAAGTTCTTTCAGTCAGTCCCCAATACCAGGCTCTTACAGTGGGCCAGGCCCTGGGGTACACAGAAAGAAAAACAGCCCCCCCCCCCCGGAGCTCCCACTCCAATGGAGGAACAGCAGATAAACATCGATGTCCGTGCCACATACAACGTATTTACGAGTAAATTGGAGCTCGTCTCAGAGGGAAGACAAGGAAGGAGCCTTCCAGGCATGGGCGCGGGCAGTCAGTGAATGGAGAGGTATGTGCAGGGAATGGAGAAGGGCAGCAGGGTATGTAGAGGAGTAAAGTGCAAGCTGCCTAGAAAGGGACTGGGTAGGTCATCGAGGGCATTCAGAGCCGTCGAGGAGATTTTATGTTGGCTCCTGGAGGCAATAGGGAGCCGCGAGAGTTTATTGAATGAGGGAGAGACACGGTCAGGTCTGTTCTTGGGAAGCTCCCTCTGACAGCTCAGTGGAAGATGGGCTGGAGTGGGGAGAGACTGGAGGCAGGCAGGCCCACCACGGGCATCGTCCAGGCCTGAGGTGATGAGGGCCCGAACTAGGCCGTGACTGGATCTGCGAGGTGAGTGTGAGTGCAGAGACAAAGCTGACGCCTGGGTGGAGATCTGGGGAGGATGGTGTCGTCCCAGCAGTAACGGGGAAGTTCAGAAGAGGAGAGACTCTGGGAAAGATGACGAGTTCATCGTTGGACATTGTGAGTTTGAGGTGTCTTACATACATCTAGCAGGCCATTGGAGGTGGCAGATTGGACGTTGGAAGAAAAGTTAGGGCTGGGTAAGTTCAGCTGAGAATCATCTGCATAAAGCTGCTGATGACTGAATCTGTGGGAGCTGATGAGATCATCAAGAGAGCTAGTGTAGAAGGAGAAGAGCTAGTGTAGAAGGACAAGAGAGGGTCCCGGACAGAGCCTTGGGAAACACCCTGTAGCCAGCATGACCTGGCTGATGGCGCGCAGAGGGGACTGAGAAGGAGCGGTCAGGCGGGGAGGGCAGTGGCACAGCAGCCTGGAGAGGAGGGCAGTTAGCCCCGCCCCAGGAGTGGCAGCAACTCCCTGCTGGGGTTGTTGTGAGGGTGAAGTGCTTTGTAAACCTCAGAGCCAGCTAAGTGCTGGCCTTTATCATTCGTACTCAGTCCAGAGGACATGAGATGTCATCATCAAGTCTCCCTCACATACCTTGATGCTGGTTTTCGCAGTGGGTGGAGTTTTTAAACGTCATTGTACATGTGTGGCTGGTTGCATGAAGCAGCTTTTGATGGTTATGAATCTGACATTGAATTTATCAATTTCTCCTTTAGAGTAAAATTAGTATGTTACCGATGTAGAGGACAAGATCGGTGGCAGTCAGCTCTGTGATCAACAGAGACCCCCGGGGATGTCGAATTCCTTCCCTTTTCTTGTTTACTGTTCACTTCGTCTCATCATCAGTAATGTTCTCTAGCTTGTATTGTTAGCATCTTTATCGTTTCCTAGGTTATTTGTTCATCATTAACCATGACACGGTGATGATAAAACCAGGCCATAAGCTGACTGGCTGTCGTTGGGAAGTGGGCGGTGGAATGATGGATGGTGTGCTGTGGAAGGAGCTAAGAAAGGATCGCTCATTAAGGGGGTGGGCCCCTGCCGTAAGACGTGCTTTCACTCTCCTGGGTTTGTTTCCCAAAGGATGAAATAGAAATGCAGCAAGACGAAGAGAACCTGCCCTACGAGGAAGAGATCTACAAAGACTCCAGCACCTTCCTTAAGGTGAGAGTGGAAGCCCTCCAGGGGCTGGGCCCTTCACGCCCCTCTTGAAGCACCTCTGACGTGCAGCCTCCCTCGGCAGACAGAGAGGCCGGCTTCTGGCCTTCCTGGTCCAGGCGGCTCCCGCTGCTGGGGCGTCGTCTCATCTCTCACGTCTTTTCTGTGCTCTTTGCTGCTGCGCCAGCGCGTGCTGGTCTTGCTTACCGCCTCCCCTGGCTTCGGTCTCTCCTCCCTTGTGTCCTGGACCCCTTTGGCAGTCGGCTGGAGCCAGAATAGGGTTTCTAAAGGCGTAAAATCCACATACTGTGAATTACAAAGGCAACCAAGTAAACTGAAATAGTTATCAACATGGTTTTTTTGTTTGTTTTGTGAGGTAATCGGGGTTAGGTGACTTGCCCAGTCACACAACTAGTAAGTGTTATGTGTCTGAGGCCAGATTTGAACTCGGGTCTTCCTGAATCCAGGGCCGGTGCTCTATCCGCTGCACCGCCTAGCTGCCCCAGCATGCTTTTTTAAAAAAAAAAAGGTTGTGGCTCCCAGGTTAAGAACCCCTGCTCCCATCCATCTCTCCTGGCGTTGCCAGACTTGTTTTCCTTATTCGTAGATCTGATCATGTTACTCTTCTGTTGTAAACCAGGTAGCGACTCCCTATTGCCTTCTAAGTGAAGTCCAGACCCTTTCGCCTGGCATTCGAATGCCCTTCACAGTATTTTTCCTGCTTTTTTGGCCTCATCTCACACTGTGTTCTTCCACATGTGCTCTATGTATTCTTTAACAAAATGGTGCTCGCTTTTCCTTGGACCACATGGCTAGAGCTTGCCCACCTCCATTCCTTTGCTAGAGTGCCTCTTGATGCCTAAAATACTTTCCTTTTCCCCTAGCCTGTGATTCCCCTAGTAATTACATATATTCCTCTAGCCCTGGTAGCTGCCCAGATATCTGCTTTTAGAATCCTCTCTGTTCTTCTAGATGTCTTAGATGCCACCTCCTCCATGAAGCCTTCCCTGATGTTGCAGTCAGAAATGATCTTTTCCTGCCTTGGACCTTAGATAGCACTTTGGTACTCTTTATGCTTCTCTTCAACAATTTACCTCAGTCTGTGAAGTGATCACTATATATTGCTTTCTTTTCCGTAATCATCATTGTGTGGTTGCGTCCATATCAGTTTTGGCGTGTTAGGTGTCTGTTGTAAAGCAGAGGTGTCAGATTGGCTGAGGTCCTACCAGATGAAAGTGCAGTTGGAAATTGTGTAACAAAGTAAACAAAAGTGTATCATAACAAAAATAACGTTAATATGTGGCTTTCTAAGTCAGCATGCACCCATAAGGATCCATTTCTATTTGAGCCTGGCCTAGAGTACTACATGTGTCCTTCCTTCCTTACTCATTCACCAGTTCTGCGGTGGGCACCGTGTTTTGGCCACCTTGTAGCTCTTTTAGCACCCCATATACAGGGCTTCACTTTTGATTACTTTACACTTAGTGGCAGACTGACCCAAAAAGAAAAGTATTAAATTTAGATAAGGTATATACATACATATATATGGGATAGCTAGGTGGTGCAGTGGATAGAGTACTGGGCCTGGAGTCAGGAAGACCTGACTCCAGCCTTGGGCCCTTACTACTTGAGTGACCAGGGGCAAGTCACAGTTATGTATGGGTATATGTGATATAACTATGGGATTTACTATAATTACATATATTTTTATTTTCACATTTTTAGGGGACCCAGAGCTTAAATCCTCACAATGATTATTGCCAACACTTTGTTGACACAGGACACAGACCCCAGAATTTCATCAGAGATGTGGGTATGTCAGACTTGCCCAAACAAGGGCTAGCTCTTGATTATCTGCATTTGACTTGGCAACTTTTTGACTTACCTCTGGCAAAGTACTGTTTTAGTTCTCCCTGTCTTATTCATGAATGGTCAAGAAGTGCAAACTAATTTTAATGCAGACAGTTCTTACATTATGTAAATTCGCATTGTGCAAATTTGACTTTACAAAAAAGAATTCTGAAAGAAATCTGATTCGAAATAAACCACATATTTTAACTTTGTTGTACAGCGCTGTGCTCCAGCCCCTTGGCTTGGGTGCGCCAAGGCTTCCCAACCCCCCCCCCCCCCCAAAAAACCTCTGAAAAATCCTCTTTAAGTAAAAGTAGAAGAACAGCTGTGCAGAGAGGCTGCCACTGCTGACATGAACAGGTCAGGGGCTTGCCTTGAGATCCCCGGGGCTGAGATGGGGCCGTGACCCTGTGTGTCCAGCTCTGCACGTCTGCCTTCTTTCTGACTGTGCTTGGGTACTGGGTGTCTGCCCCTGGCCCCCGTGTGTTCTTCCTTGTGCTCTTCTCTGTCCCTGGCCCCTACTCGTCCTTGAACTGTGTCCTGGCCTCCTCCCTCCACGGGTTCATAGCCCTGTTCCTGCCTCCTCTCCCTCCCTTCTCCACACCCATGGGTAGATTCCCATTAAGTAAAAATTACATAGAGGTCTGTGGAACAGTCCACTTACATAAAGTGAGAACTGTCTGTAATAGTCTGGTCAGAATATAATTAAGTTGTGGTCCATCTGAGAATCAAATGCAATTTTTAAAAAATGATGAATGCTGTTCGACACTCAGTTTTGTGTATAATTGAGAGTCGCCTGTAATTCTTCCATTATTGATTAAAAGAATGTTTTTTTTTAAAATGTTCAAAAAGTTGGAATTTAAGCTTTAATTATGGAGTGTTTACATTTCATAAACTTAAGAAAGATTAGAAATAGCTTTTTTCTTTTTTGTATATTTTATAGAATTCAGTAAAATACATGTTTCTCATAGATAAATATTTTTTAAAATGGTACCACTTGTAATTCTACATGCACTCTCGTAGTATGTGTTTGCAAATGGACTCTTGGCTGTAGTGAATAAGTTTTTTAAATAACTTTTACTCACAGAGAGTGTGTGAAGCTCTACTGTCTTTATTTAAATTGGTACCACCAAACCTGTCCTGAAGCCTCTTGGGAGATGCTCAGGCTCAGCACAGCCCCAAAATCTTTGGAGTGGAGAATAAACAAGGACTTGGGGGCTAGAGTGATGAATTGTGGCTACCCACTCTAGACATAGTGGGGGCTGTCTAGTAACCCTTTGTCTCTTGGTTTTGTAGACCCTTATTAAAAACTCAGTGTGAAAAATAGCTGTGAGGGTTTGGTGTAAAGGAAATTGGGTCCTCCTCCCCAGTATGGTGCCAGGCACATAGTAGGTGTTCAATTAATACTTATTGATTGATTTAGGGAAGTCTCATAATTTAGTTTCACTGAATTAAACCTCACTTGTGTTGCTAACGTCAATATTTTACCGTTCAGGTTTAGCAGATAGATTTGAAGAGTATCCTAAGCTGAGGGAGCTTATCAGACTGAAGGACGAGCTGATCTCCAAGTCAAACACTCCTCCCATGTAAGTGCGTTCACGGCCATCATCAGCACCGCTTTCATCCTCTGGAAAGCCATGTTGTTTAGCAGTTCAGGAAACTGCTGTCTTTCGGCAGCTATCTAAGATGAATGCAGCCTGGTTTGTTTCCTTTGGAGAAATAGGTTGTAGTGAAACTCCCTAGGGCTGAGCACGTCACAAGCTCTTCATGAAAACTTCTTGGTTGATTATCAAGCTTTTTGTATATCCCAATACTGCTTTTAGAAAACAGAGAGGCTATGGAGAGGCACAAAACTCCCAGGCGGTGGAAGTAATTTACTCTGTGTGTGTGTGTGTGTGTGTGTGTGTGTGTGTGTGTGTGTGTTTATAACACATTTCCTATACTAAGAATAAGAAACTGTCTGGTATTGGAAATTTCCTAAATGAGATTTTTGTTTCGGTTAAGTCACAGAGATTCACTCTTCTTGAGCACAATGCTGTACTTTGCAAAAATAGTATTCTTGTAATTGTTGTAGTGATTTTGTGTGACGTTAAGACATCTTCATCCTAATCTGATATTGTTGTAAAAGAGATTTACGAATTTAATGCAGGGTTTGACCAGGTTTCTTTGAATGCTAAGATTTTATTTCATAATTAGGCTTTATGAGTAGTCTTAGAAATTAGCTTTCATCTAAAGCCTGTAATACTTTTTAGTAGATGAATAGAGAAGATAGTTAAAGTTCATTTTTATTATCACGAAGCTCTTCCCTGGTCCATAGACTGGAGGAAATGAGGCCTGCCATTTTTATAACCTTGAAAAACAAAAGGTGGAATTCTTAAAATTTAAGTGACATTTACTCACTGAGTTCACACTTAACAGATGGACCAGTGGACTTGGTAAACTGAGAGATACATCAGCAGAGCTTAGAGCTTTCTAGGACTACACAATTTTTTGTATTTTTTCCCTTGACTTTGATAGACGGCAGGCAGCGTCACCATGCTGCTGGAGGAGGCAGAGAAGAAGCCCTGGGGAGTCGGGGCACGTGGGGACAGGATGACATGGCATTCAGCACTGTGGTCTCTGCCATGGGTGGACTGATGGAAATGTTAATGACCTACAGATAACACAATCCATGCTCACAAGAGCAGTTTTGCTTGTGTGTTTGAATGTATGTTTTGAACTAAGAGAAAACTTTAAGAAAGCATTTGTTGATTACCTCACGTAAGCTCTGGGAATAGCATTCAACCTGGATTGTTTTACAATCTTGTTTTTTTGTGGTAAGTGGGATGCTTACAACGGTCCCGACCGTTGGTTGTGCTTTAATCCACTAGGTATTTACAGGCAGATTTAGATGCTTTTGACATCAGAGAGCTAAAGTCCAAATTCGATGTGATTCTTCTGGAACCTCCTTTGGAAGAGTATTACCGAGAAACTGGGATCACTGCTAATGAAAAATGCTGGACCTGGGATGACGTAAGTGTTCCTTGTTTTTTGTGGTGAATTGGTTATTTTTAAAATATGATCTTAAACAATTCAAACTTGAATAGAAAGTGTCTTTGTGTATGTGTTCCCATCTTCCATGAACACGTGTGCTTGCAGCATGCTGTGGCTGAGGTTAAAACCCTAGCTGGCCATGTTATTTTGGGCCTGGTTACAGGGAAAAGCGGAGAAGTGAGTGGGCCAGAAAGTCCTCCGAAGGCAGGTGCAGATGCTTCCTGGAGCTCAGAGGGGCCCTGGGTTCTGAAAGCCTAGGCCCGAGCAGCCCTGGTTCTAGCAGCTCCACCCAAGCTGAGAAGGTTTCACGAATGGCCCAGTAATGGGTAGTCAGCGAAGTTTGGCGAAGCTGACCCAGGTGATAGCATACTAAGCATAGAAGAGTTGTGCGTTGTTTTAGTGGTACCTGCAGTGACCCCACAGTGATGAAATCACAGCTCCTTGAAGTGGGTCAGAAAAGCCACAGAGTTCACTGAAAGCTCCTCTCTGCCCGCCGTCTGAGTAAGCAGCCAGCTGGCACGGTTGTATCCTCAGCAGAATACCAGGATGGTGGTGCTGAGGGCGGCCCCCAAGTACCTCCCTCCGGCGCAGCAGGCAGCAGGGCTGCTGGGAATGCAGCTACCAAGGGCAAAGCAGAGGTCCTCCTCCTCTGGAGGAACTTCCGCTGCCGTGGGGAGCGAAAGGTCCGGCTGCAGCAAAGGTCTGTAGAGGAGGTAGCAAGGGAAAGGAGATCGCCTGTATGAGGCGGCACCTAGTTCCTAGTTCCTAGTCCAGGTCACCGGAGCTCTTGAACTATGAAGATCGTGACGAAAGGTGAGGAATGCATTAAAAAATGGTTTTACTCTGTTGTCGTATCCCAGCCTGCCCAGAGTTACGTGTTGAAGAATTACTCTGATCCTGTGACGGATATTGATGTGGTACTGACATGGGGCATTGCACGTGTTTCAGGGAAAGATGTTTGTGTGTGTGTGTGTCTGCATATGAGTATGTGTGTGTCTGTGCGTGTGTGTGTGTGCATTTCAGATGCTAAAGGGAGACCTTGTCCTCTTTTGAGCATTCCTGTTTATTTTATATAGACTTGGTGAATGCCTCTTTGGAAATGGAAAAAAGAAATGAGAAAGCTCTATGTTGCTGTATTGTTGTTTAGCTGCCTGATAAACCTGGTGATCCTGAACAGCTTCTTGAACTTCTTGGGGTCTTTGTCAGCTTGTCTGTAAAATCAGAGTTTTGTGCACAAGGATTGCTGAGATCCTTTCTAGTCCTCGTTACTGACCTGCATTTTTTTTTTTAAATTTTTAGGCAGTTGGGGTTAAGTGACGTGCGCAGGGTCACACAGCTAGTAAGTGTCAAGTGTTTGGTCTGAGGCCGGATTTGAACTCAGGTCCTCCTGACTCCAGGGCTATTGCTCTATCCGCTGCCCCCTACTGACCTGCATTCTTAAAACCTTCATTAGAGTCTTCTTATTTTGGGAGAGCCAGCAATCGAATGAGGAAATAGGAATTTTTGCTATAAACCCTTTACTTAAGGAGACAGGAATGTATAGATTGAGATCCAGAAGAATATCAATTGTGATTTCAGAATATGTAGTAAGCTATACTTTTGTGCAATATTATTTTATGTTCCTTAGATTATGAAGCTAGAAATTGAGGAGCTTTCCGGACTACGGTCATTTGTCTTTTTGTGGTGTGGCTCTGGGGAGGGCCTGGACCTTGGCAGAGTGGTAAGAAACTTTTGTTTTTTAAAATCCTTAAGAAAAAATGAAACAAATATGCTCGCATAAGAAGTTGTGGAAGAATCTGTTTAACCTCATGTTGTTGAGCCCATGTTCTGCATGATAGTTTGAATGTGGTCCTTGGTCCCTTTAAGAAGCCAGGTGGTATGAATAATGAAGAAGGGGGTGAGTGAGGAGATAGCCAGGCCGAAGGGGTGCGCAGGGCGTTAGAGCAGTAGAGACCCCACAGTGAGGACCCATGGAACCCAGTGAAGTAGGAAAGGGTGGGGAGGGAGAAGAGCTCCAGGGATTGGATGGCGAGCGAGACACACCCCCCCCCCCACCCCCCCCCCACGCAGAGATGGTGAGCGAGACACACATACACAGAGACACACACACACTCTCTCTCTGTCTCTCTCTCTCTCCCTCTCTACCTCCCCCCTCCTCTTCTGTAGTATTTAATACTTAGGAGCCAGGAGGTATGGAAGGCTGTAAAAACTGAATAAGAGGGCTGGGAAAAGAAACAAAGATTTGAGAAACAGGTCGGGGCAAGTGCTGATGGGGTGCTTTCTACATAGACAGTTTGTAAGTACGCTCAGCTGCTTGGGGCAGTGGGTAGAGCGCTCTTTCTCTGGGCTCTGAACATTTTCTCTGGCCGTTCCTCATGTCTGGAACCTGCCCTTCCTCTGCTTTGACTGCTGACCTCCCTAGCTTCCTAAGCCCCAACTAAAATCCCGCCTTTGACAGGAAGCCTTCTCAGACCCTCTTCATTTTAGCGCATTCCCTCTCTTCGTTATTTTCTATTGTTCTTGCAGATAGCTTGTCTGGATGTGTATGTTTGCTTGTCTCCCCATTAGAGTGAAAGGGCATCGAGGGCAGGAATCGTCCCAACACCCCTCCAGCGTAGGCCACGATCCCATTCGCTGTTTTGGCTACTGTCTTTCATGAGGCGTTTTATAGCTTCTCCTTTTGGCAGCGTATTTCGTGTTGCGTGTGCGGTACATTAAAACCCCTGGTCTTGTTCAGATGAGCTGCTCTCTGGCCACGCCTCCCTGCACTTCTCCTTGTGGAGCTGATTTTCTGAAGCCAGTGTCAACCCATGTTCAATTTCACTTCACTAGATTCAACCCCGCGTTTTGGTCAGTCAGTGTTTGTTCGTGGTTGGCAGTCGTACACCAGCTAAGCACAGGTTATTGCAGTGATCTTTGGACCCTTCGGCGCAAGTTGCCGTGAACTGCCGATAGCTTTCTTTGGGTGTGGCCAGGGGCATGCTGGAGGCTGGTTTTTCATTTTCATTTTTCAGTGTGGGCGTTTACACCTCAGAAACTGGCAGACGTTCAGATCGAGGCTCGATTTATTTTTTGTTGTCATTGCCTGTCTAGACTGAAGAAAGTGATGGTCAGAATGGGAATAATGCAGATTACGTCTTTCCCCTTAGAGAGCCAAGTGTTGACCCTTTACCGGCATGCCCATGGCCCATTCAGCTCTTGTGAAGTCTTTTCTGCTTGTCACCCGGACACGTTTGCTTTGTGATCTCCACTTCTCTTTCTGGGTGGTCACCAACTGTCCGTGTCATGCAAAATCCTAGAATTTTTTCTAGGAGCGAAGACAAAGCCAGCGGCCTCTAGACCACTGGCTCGGCTCTCTGCCTTTCTTGGACTCCAGGACATCGGCCCTTCTCTCATCCTGGGGTTCCTTATCACTGGGCTCATCATCCATTGCTTCTTTTGGGGCCTTAGGATGTAGTTAGATCCTGGTGAACCTGTCAGGGTCAACAGGTTACTTTTTATTATCTCCCAAATGACCTTGGGTATTGACTCCCTATTAGCCAATATTATTCTGTCCTTTCCCGTTCCAAGATGATTCTCCGTAGGAAACAATCACAACAAAGTTGAGCATTTCTGTTTTCCCTTTGTTGTGTAGACAGACAGCAGTAGGAAGGAGCTTGTAAAGCCCATGTAGTGGTCCTGTCTCTGTTTTTATTCAGCTTGTCCTCAGTAGGGTGGTTGGGTGTTTTTTTGTTTGTTTTTCCTTTTTTTAATTCGTTTGTGGTCCTTAGCTCGCTTTACTAGTTTCTGCAGATTTGGGGCATTAGCAGCTGTCATTATTCATACTCTATTCTTTTATGCTGCAAATACCTCAGTATTTTTATTTGATTGTGGTAGTTAGAAGAAGAAGTGTTTTAGAACTTGCATTTCAACATTTTTAAGTTTCATTAACATATTTAGCGTTGTTGCGGAGCACAGTGACTACATTCCAGGGACATGAGAGGTGAAGGTCTGTTCTGTGATGTGTTTTCTCGTGTCGTTGGTGATAAGGATCGTCCTTGGTTTGGGGATGTCTGGACCATTTCGAGGCCACATTTACACCAGTGTGTTCCATTTCTGCTTTTCCTCCTCAGAAGGACTTTCTCCCTTTCAATACGTGCTAGAACAATTGCCACACCAGTTTGAAATTTTACTCCCTCACTCAGAAAAGAGTCAGTTATTGTTTGTGCTTAATTTTTAAAAATCCTAACGGCTGTCTTTTCCCCTTTCTTTTAAGTGTTTACGCAAATGGGGTTACAGAAGATGCGAAGATATTTGCTGGATTAAAACCAACAAAAACAATCCCGGGAAGACGAAGACTTTGGATCCAAAGGCCGTCTTCCAGAGGACGAAGGTACAGCTTTTTCCTGGCTTCCTTTGTACTCCTTCAGATTGCTGATGATCTTGAAGTGAGGACAAGTAATTTTAGGGAAATAAGGACGTTCTTTCTGGTTTTTAGCACATAAATTGAATTAGAAATATTTAGGTATATTTTTATTTTAGTAGTTAAGAATTATGTAAATTTTCCCTCGAACTTAGTTTGATAAAACCTCACAACCTGTTAGGCTTTGATCCAGCTCCTTCGTGGTTTTTTAAAATACTCAAAGGGTTATTGTGAGCGTGGGTAGGAGGTTGCAGTGCTTTGATGCTCATATTCCTTTGTAAAAATGAGGAGATTGGTTTAGATCAAGGGTGGGGAACCCAAGGCCTCGAGGCCACATGTGCCCTGTAGGTCCTCAAGTGCAGCCCTCCGACTGAATCCAAACTTCACAGAGCAAATCCCCGTATTAAAAGGATCTGGACTCAGTCAAAAGGCTGTACCCCAGGACCTAGAAGGCCCCGTGTGGCCTCAAGGCTGAGGGTTCCCCGCCACTGGGTTGGATGATCCCTAATGTCCCATCCATCCGCAAAGCCTCATTTGAAGTGGTAGTATTATAATTTGTTGTCTCCTAGAGAAAGCTGCTTTTGTGGGTGAGGCCTGCCTTTGACTTGGTTCAAGGGTTTTTTTTTTCTTTTCTTTACAAAAAATTTAGTAGGTACTCATGACTATAGAACCCATTCAAAACATACTTTAATCATGGACATTTTAAAAAACAATGTACTAATAAAAAAAGATAGGAACCAGTATTCCTTTTTTATAGTCACTGAGGCACAAACTGAAGGAAATGACTTGCTGGCAGTTCCAGCCCTCCAAAGATTCCTGCCCCTGACCCCTGACCTCCTTTTCTCCTCCCAGGATAACCCTCTTACCATTCAGACCACCAGGGGTGCAAAGCCCTTGACTGGGCAAGCCTTGGGACCCAGTGGAGGAGCGGTAGCTGCAAGAGCCTTCTCAGCTTGGGCCCTTGGCCGTAGTCCATCCTCTTCTTTGGGAGCTTGACCCGTTGATCATTTCCTTCTCACTCTTCATTCTTTCTTTGTCTTCTGGCTCCTTCCTGCTGCCTTTGAATATATTCAAGTTCTCCTTGTCCTTAAATCTAAGCTTGACCTGTTATCCCCCTTAAGCTGTGAACGTATACAGAAGTATATGTATACATGCATACACATGCTGTCTTCACATGTGTCTGTGCGTGTTGTGGCATTTAGAAAGCTAGAGATACGTAATTATGTATATGTGTCTTTTTTCATTGATAAACTCTCAGGCTATTTTTTCACCATTGATTCTCTATGGAAATTGCTCCCCCAGAAGTTAACCAGTGAACTCTTAATTGATACATCACAAGGTATTTTCTTACTTTTCTTGACCTTGACTTTTGGGTCACATTTGACCTTGTTGCCCTCGTCCTCTTCCCTGGGTCGTTGAGTTTCCTTTCCCTTGTCTTCTATGGCTCTACTGTCTCTGAGTCTCTTTCTCTTGGTCTGACTATTCTTCACACCCGTTACTGGGTCTTTACCCTCTCTTCACCCCTCAGGTGTCATTGTCATGTAAAACACTTTCCTTGACTGAGCCTACAGTTATTTGCCTGGTGGCCATTTTACCTCCTTCCACCATTTCCTATGTCCAGTTGTTTGCCAAGATTTAGTCATGCTCTCTCCTCACACTTGCATGTCCCTTCTCTGGGGCCTCCACCCATAGATAATCTCCTCCTTGCCTCTTGCCAGAGTCCCCTGGTGCTTTCAATCTCAGCCCTCTGACACAGCTGCCATACGGCTTTCTGAGCCAAAGACTGAGCAATCCACATCATCCCTAGTCAAACGGGGGTCTTAGGGACTGAGATCACAAGCAGGTTTTTTGTTGTTTGTTTTGTTTTAATTTTACTAGAAAGCACTTGCAAAAGTTGAAGGAACTAAAAAAAATGAAGTTTCTTCTATGAAGAAATCTTAAGTTCTTCACCCTTTCATCGAAGGCCTTTCCCACTCAGTCTCGCTGCATCCTACCTTTCCAGGCTCGTTTACCATTTCGTATTTCTGTCAAACTGTGACATTAGCTGTCACCCTCTCACCTGTGTTTATGCATGCCATCTCCAGTACCTGGACTCCACTCTTTCTTAGCGTTGCCTTTCAGAATCATCTTCCATCAGGGCTCATCTCAAGTGCCCCCTCTCCCATGCAGCCTTCTCTGCTGGTTAGTGCCCTGCCCTCCCTCTCCTCCCCCACCTGGCATACTTGCTGTAGGCTTTGTTCCGTGAAAGCCCATCTTTGGTTCGGCTCAGTCTGTAGCCTGAGAAGTTCTGGCTCATTTTCTCACCCTGACAGTTCCCGTGGCTTTTATCATCCTAAAGACTGTGGGAAGTTGGAAGGTTCTAGAATATTTACCCCGGAGCTCTGAAAAATCCAGGCAGCTGCCTGCAGGAAATGTTATTTACTTGTCTTGTGCAGGAGCATTGTCTGATGGGCATCAAAGGCACTGTTCGGCGTAGCACAGATGGTGACTTTATTCATGCCAACGTGGACATTGACTTAATTATCACAGAAGAGCCTGAAATCGGAAACATAGAAAAACCGGTAGAGATTTTTCATATCATTGAGCATTTTTGCCTTGGTAGAAGACGTCTTCACCTTTTTGGAAGGGACAGTACAATCCGACCAGGTAAGACTTCAGTTTAAAAACAAAACAACTTTTAAAACTCAAAATACTGATATATTTAAATGAATAATTAACCTTTTACATCATAGAATAAAATAACATACAGAGTAAAATTTCCATGATACAATGGGAATGATATAATCTTGTGGAAAACTTGGAGTAGTTTGGTAGCTGTCTCCACAAACAACAAAAAAATCATGTAATTTCTCATTTTAATTCTGATTAGAAGTATTAAGCCAAATTTGCTTTGCATTTGGATGCGTACTGTGTATCTAAATTTCTAAATGTTCACGTTCACAAAAGGCCCTTTAACGTTTGAACTGGTGACCAGTTGAAAGCCTAAAATCATTTCAGGTTAAGATGATTATTCTGGTGAGAATTGGCCAAATTGTAATACAGAGCCGTTGTTTAAAGGTGTATTGCTTCTTAGAGAGGAAAGTACGATGACTTGGAGTTCTTATTTTGCATTTCTTTTGTAATCGAATGATAAGAGTGTTGTGAGAACATGACATTAGATAGAACAAAGGGAAGGGAGTTCACATAAGAAATAAGTGTGTGGGGGGAATCATTCATATTTCATAGCTGGAAGAAGCTGAGATCACCAAGAATGTTTGTTTTTCTTTCTTTTAATTACATTAGAAGGCAAAATAAAGTGGTTGAGTGTTGTCCCTGAGGACTGGGGATTGTGAATGAGCTGTGATGCCCACCCAGCACGCATGTGCAGTGGTTCTCAGGCTGTGGGGGACGACCCTGCCGGCTGGCTGTCTGTCAGAAGTTCAGGGGAGCAACTGTGGTCAGGCTGTGGCAAATAATCCTGGAGGTGGCATTGCTGCAGCCGGGATCGGGCGTCGAGCTTTCCATTGGGAAAGCGTAGGGGGAAAGCAGCTGAAAAGTAGAACCGAACCCTTTTTACAAGGGTGTTTTTAGGAAAGCATTGTGTGATCTCCACCATAGTTGTAGACCAGAGCACCATTTCAGACTTTGTGGAGGTTTTTTCCACATTCCAAAGGCTTAGCTCTTTAAAAATAAATTAAACAGAATCAGATAGTTTGAACTTTTTTGACTTAAAAATGATTTCCCGTCTTCTAGGCCATGTGTGTACATGTGTTTATGTTGTGTGGATACAGTAGCTTTGAGATGTTTGGCTTCTGCCTGAGGATCCCACCACAAGTTGTATTAAAGTACTGTGGGTGGTTTTGCTTTTTCATCAGACTTTCTCAAAGGACAAATGAACATTTTTCCCAGCAGTTTAGGGCACAGAAGTTTATTACCGGATTGCTGATAGAAACGATCCCTCCTTGTGACCTCTCGTGGCCATTTCTACAAAATTCCTTGGCTGCTTTGGTGGGGATCCAAGGACATGGATGGGCCTAATGCACCACCCCACAAGTGGGGCCCGGGGGCCCCGCATTCCCACCCCGCCGCTCTAGTCCTTCTGGTCAGTCAGCCAGCCTTGAAGTGCTTGCAGTGTGCTGGGCACTTCTGTAAATGCGGGGCATGCAAAGAAGGGAGCGTGTCGTCTCCTGGGGTGGGGCAGTGTGTGAAGAACGAGGCATGTGTGGGGGGGTGTCCTTACGGCGAGGCACAGCCTGCAGCTCATCCACCTTTGTTCTCTTGGACACCCCGCTTCTGCAGCAGTCTCCTCCTCCCACAGGGCTCAACTCATCACCGAGGTGTTCCTACACACCAGCTAGGCCCCTCCAATACACAGCTGGTCCCTCTTTGTGTTGTCAGATTAACAGGTGGCTTCCATCTCTCAATCTGTCCTTGTCTTGAGGTAACTCATGCAGGAGTAGACCGTGGTGGACGTAGTGGCTGTGTGCATCTAGGAGACAGCCAGGGCCATCCAGGAGTCACAGCCTGGCCAGGGAGACGAGATGGATGAGGGGAGCGTGTAAAGCCCAAGCTAGGAGACCGTGTATGAGAAGCGCCCCCCAGAGCCCCGGGCTTTAAGGGCTGGGGGAGCACCGGGGCTCCAGGGCCTCGGGCAGTGCCCTGAACCTGGGGAGGTGCCGGGGGAGGGAGCTGAGCCAATGTTGATGACTCTTTATTTCTGTCTCTTCTAGGCTGGCTTACCGTGGGACCCAATCTTACCAATAGCAACTTCAATGCAGAAACTTATGCTTCCTACTTCAGCATTCCCAATTCCCCTCTGACGGGATGCACAGAAGAGATTGAGAGACTGCGGCCAAAGTCACCCCCTCCAAAATCAAAATCCGATCGAGGAGGTGGCGCCCCGAGGGGGGGCGGCAGGGGGGGCACTTCTGCCGGCCGCGGAGAGAGAGGCCGGGAAAGAAACCGGTCCACCTTCCGAGGAGAGAGGGGCGGCTTTCGAGGGGGCCGCGGAGGGGCCCACCGAGGGGGCTTCCCCCCGCGCTAGCGCTGTTGCAGGCATGGCCCCTTTGGTTCCTCCTCCTCCTGGGTCTGTGCTGGGGACCCGTGTTAGGAACCAAAGCCGGTTGACTCCTCGCACTCAGAAACCATTGACTACCTCCTGTGGACTGCCACACGTGGCAGGCTTTGTCTGGTTTGTGTTGAGAAGGTGACCGTGCCATTGGTCGTGTGCGTGTGACTGAGCAGAGGGAGAAAACAAGTACCTTAGCCCAGACGAAATTAGTCTAGTATGTTCTAAATCAGCCAGGCCCTTTGCTCCATTTTCATAGCCCAGGAAAGCCTTCCAAGCCACACTGTCGCTAGTGCCCGGATGAGGGCTCAGCCCGCTCGCTCTCCATTTCCGCGGTCACGTTCTTAGCAGGCCTGAGACGACCTGTCTTGGCATTGATGCAGTAGAATGGGAGACCTGCTTCTCATTTGTTCCTGTTTTCTTGCTGTCCAGCTCTAACAGCAGAATAATGGTTACGACTTTCTGTAGTACACTTTTTATTGTTTCAGAGTCACCCGGTAGTTAGGCAGAGTCTGGCTCCAGCAGGCCTAGGAGGCAGAAGTGTGACAGGAATACTTTTGTGTGTACCGGTGACTCCTTGTCTTCCTTAGAGGCGTGATGGTAAAAGGCCAGATCTCAGCTGGGCTTCCAGCAGCTGCTGTAGGTTCTAGTTTAAAAGAGTGAGGAAAGCTGCAAAAGCGGGCCGCAGGGTTGGGGGGATTATCGGCTGCCTCCTTCACACATCCCTGAAAATGGAAAGCAGCATTGGTCCTTAAGTTTGTTACAAAGAATTTAAGGAGAGATGGGTATTCGTTCTAAAAACTGTTCTGCCCACAACTTCTGGACAGAACTCTGATTCCGCTTACTGCGTTTTGTTTCTATTTTTATGAGAGACTGATTTGGTAAATCATTTATGTGACACTTTATACAACCTCGTTCTCTTCTGTAACTCATTTCAAAAGAACTTGCTGACTTTGGCGTAGTGAAAATGATTGCATTGTTAATTTTGATAAATACCATTTTATAACATTTTGAGTAGGGTTTTTTTTTTTTTTGAATGAAAGGTGATCATTAGATGCACATCTTAAGATACATTTGAGGAGTCTGCTTGGTCTGCTGCACTGGTCTTATTTCTGGATGAAACCCTGGAAGGCTGAGAGTAAGAGCCTGTTTAGATGTCACTGACCCCTCAGGCAGACTGAGAAAATTCATGGAGATGTGGGTGTTGCGTACCACACTCTGTTGAATCCTTTTTGTCTTGTTTCTGTCTGTAGTTTTTACTGAAGTGGCACGTCAGCATCCTTCTCTCGGATCTGCTAGGAGTAAAGTTCCTTTTCATAAAGGCACACCCTGAGTGTAGGAGGTTGGGAAAAGCTTAGTCTCCTGAGCTCCTCGCCGGCTCGGTGGCAGAGGCAGCTAAGGAGGAGTGATGCATATCCCGAGAGGACGTGCTGCCTCTTTGGTGGACCATGCCTGGCCATGGCTGAGGGGAGAATCAAACCTGGCCTTCGGAAGTGGGTGTCTGGACTAGACCAATGAGGGAGGCAGGTGCAGCCTGGACCACAGCTGTGTGCGGCCTCCTTGTCACTGGACAGGATCCAGCCGTCTCTCAGGAACACAGCTCTTCCTTCTTCCCGTGTTCATCTCTGATGGGCATTGCTTTGGGAAGCGACTTCCACCTGCCCTCAGCCAGTAACTCCCAGGACCTTAAGGCAAGCCCCTGATGGAGGATTTGGCTGATTGAATCTTTTCCATAGGCTCCATGAAATTCCCTAATTAGAGAGATGTGCATAACTTATTTGGGGACATGTATTATTTAACATGGGTTTCTTCAATCTTGTGAAGCCTCCAAGACTAGGTTTTGAATGAGAGTTTGCAAGCCCCTATGTTTTGAGTAAATTCCCAGCTCAATACAAACCAATCTCATAAATAACGTCTTTAAATGAATTCTTAACAATGACCCTAAAGATAGACATGTGGCGCCGCTAATGGGAAGCTGGGTCACAACTCCATCGCTGCGGGGTTCTTTGGGGCTGACTTGAGTGATGAAAGATTACGGCTGCCGACTCCAGACCAGGACGAGAGGAGGAGCTGGGCCTCTGACTGACGTCATTGACCGTGCGAATTGGAAGGTCACCCAGGCCGATGTGTGCATGAACGAGGACCCGACGAGATCCTCGTGTTGTGGGGCAGCCCGTCCCACGTGGGAGCGCTGCCCTAACTTAGGGGCTTTTTCTGTGCATTTTGCACAAATGTGCTTCCACTTCTGCCCTGTGACTGGCTCTGCCTTCAGCGGCTGAGCAGACGAGTCCAGTGATCCCCCAAAGGGTTAATCCCCTCCGCTTCAGGAAGGACCCCATAGCCCTGTTCTGAGGAGTCTGCTTGGTCTGCTGCACTGGTCTTATTTCTGGATGAAACCCTGGAAGGCTGAGAGTAAGAGCCTGTTTAGATGTCACTGACCCCTCAGGCAGACTGAGAAAATTCATGGAGACGTGGGTGTTGCGTACCACACTCTGTTGAATCCTTTTTGTCTTGTTTCTGTCTGTAGTTTTTACTGAAGTGGCACGTCAGCATACTTCTCTCAGATCTGCTAGGAGTAAAGTTCCTTTTCATAAAGGCACACCCTGAGTGTAGGAGGTTGGGAAAAGCTTAGTCTCCTGAGCTCCTCGCCGGCCTTCCCCTCTCCCAGGACCAGCTCCCAGGTGCAGTCTCAGCTCTTCACTCCCTCACCCCACGCATCCCCTTTTCAGATCTTGCCATCTCCCCTCCAGCTCACTACTCACTGGCCAGCGCCCCGCCTTGAGGCCTTCATCGCCTCCCACCCAGACAATTTCAAGAGCCTCCTCACTGGTCTTCTGCCTCAAGCTTCTCCCCATTTCAGTCCGTGCTTAGGTATAGGTGTGGTGGCACCATTCCCATTCTCAGTAAACTGGTGGTTCCTTATTGCCTTTAGGATCCAATGTAAACTCCCCTGCTGGGCATTTAAAATGCTTCATAACCAGACCCCCGCCTATCTCCCCAGGATTACGTGTTACTCCCTGGACCACACTCTGTGCCTCACCAAGCTTACATAATTGCTTACGGCCCTTGGAATATTCTTCAGCCAGGTCTGCACAGAATGAGTGCCCAGAATAGGGCTTGTTCAGTGCTGTGAGGGACCGGACTGAATTCGCCAGTTTAGGTTGCTGGCTTCCAGTTTTTAGCACAAATTACTGGCACACACCTGCCCTTCATCGTGGTTATTGTGGATATGGCTTGAAATGCTATCTTTGCTGGTTGGAATGGGTACTCTGCGGGGAAGTCAGTTTAGATGCCGAAGGCGCTCTCATAGTGGGCGAGGGGGATTGTCAGAAGCAATAAACCCTTGCCAATCAATAAATTGCTTCATCAATCTCGATGTTTTGGAAGTTTTTCGTTCCACATTTACAGATTTCTTCCAGGTCCTTCATTAATCTCCTGTAAGGGCTGCCATCTTGCTGTTCCATGATGCATTGTGTCTAGCTGGGATGGGGATGGAGGGAGGGAGGAGGAGAGGGGAGAAAAGGAAAGGGAAGCTGTAGCCCCCTTCCCACCTATCGCTCTCAACACAGCGAACAAACAGTAGTCCGAGTGCTTCTGGAGAGGGCTGCCCCTCGACTGTCCTGTGGACCAGCTCAGTCCTGGGCCTGCAGACACCATTCCCTTCTGTGCTGTCTTTCCCTAGTAGAAGGGAAACCCCTGAGAAGAGGGACGATCTTGGCACTTTGGGTCTATCCCTAGTGCTGAGCACTACCTGGCTCCTTACAAGTGCTTAAGAAATGCTTTTTCTTTCAGCTTCCGCCCTTTTCTTCCTTCACCTTTAGTACTCTGTCTTGTAGGATGTTTAATCTCTAGCAATTCTGGAGGAGGGAGAACTTGGGTGTTCTCTGGAGGGAAATAAGGAATGGGTTGGAGAGATTTGGAATTCCTACCTCTCAGGATGTAATTTTTATGAGGAAGTTTGCCTTTGCACCTGTTTTGTTAATAGGAGTATTACTCTGTCTTAAATGGAATATCTTGTCTTACTACCAAGCTCAGACTAAATTCAAATTTTACAGATTCTGGGGTTTAGGTACAAAGTGGCACAATCATTAGGGAAAGGTGAAGTTATTCTGCCCTTCCTCCCACCAGCACTTTTCACCTTCCCTTACTATCCAAAAAACCTTAGTAATAAGTAAAATTTGGAGTGAGTTGAGAAGCATCTGAGGAGTAGGCCGCAGGCCAGAGTCATCAGGTCAGCCCTGAACAGTCAGGTTTAACTGCATTTGGAGTCAGCATGTTGGTTCAGATCTGGTTCTGTTGACCTTGGGCCAGTTACTTAACCTCTCCTGGTCTCACTTTCCTTAGCTTTGATACGCCTCCTATGTCTATTCATCCTTAAATTACCTTCAGGATCCTTCCCCCAACCACAGGTCTTTCGCAGGCCATCACCTCATCAGAGGTTCTTAACCCTCAGTCCGGCAACTTGTTTTAAATTGGTGACTATTCCAATATAATTGTGGGCTGTGGGTTTTGTTTTTTTCCTTTTGGGATTCCATTTTGTTTTATGTGCTTTAAAACATTATTCTGAGACTGGACTACCAAGAGGTTCTAGGACACAAAGGTGAAGAACCTTGGGCCACCATCTCCTGAACTCTTGGTAACCAGTCTAACTCTACACTATCCACTGTCACCCTTTATTCTTGAATCCTTTGTCTTCTTGCCAAACCACAACCCTGCATTACTCCAACTATTCCCTCGAAACTACCACAACGGTAGTAGAAACACATCTTGTCTCAATTCTCCCCTCTCTCCAGTCTGTTCTCCACACAGCTGGCAAAATGATCTTTCTTATGCTTACGTGACCAAAAAGAAAGGGGACAAACATACGATGAAAATGTTTTAATAAAATTCATTTCATTTTGGTTATGTTTTAAACTGCTGGTAAAAATCCTTTAGGTTTTAGTACATAATGAATTGCACTTAACACAACAAATGTTTTTCTCTCCTTAGTTAAACATGTAGATTGAACCTGTTAAGGCTTATTCTCTGCGGTTGGCTTGAGTTGTGATGGGTAACCAACCGCAGGGGTGGAGCTGCCTTGCGATAGGGTGGTAGAGAGGCAGCCGTGTTCCTGTTAACATCAGCAACAGCACCACACAGCAGGAAGGCAGTGCAGACGCTTGAGGTGTTCCAAGGGCTGCGGTCCAGGTGCATCAAAGGAGGGACTGAAGGCAACTTAATTCTCCCCCTGGAGCTTGGCTAAAAGGTTTTCAGAAGACCACAAGTCCCTTCAGAGCAAGATGTGCAGGTCCAAATGGTTCTCCGTGGAGTGTGGAATAGGCCTGATTTGTGGCTGCTCCTCAGGGTCAATGGAGCTTCATCCGCATCCGGGGCAGGCAGGCTGGTAGAAGTTTCTGATCCACGTGTGCCCGATGAACATGAACGGGGTGAAGATGCCCCTGCACCTCTGTAAAGCCAGTTAACGGAGAAGGCTGAATCCAAGGGGGATGGAGGGGAGATGGGGTCCTAAAAGGGTAAATCCTTTAGCCCTGGATTAAAAATGGCAGGCAAACCCTGTGGTTTAATAATGAGTCGTTTTGGCTTTGTGAAGAATTTAAAAAAAATTTGTCAATAGAATTTAAGAAAAAAAAAACATTTAGGAAGTTTGTTTTAATTGTAGACCCTTAATGGTCTGTAAGAAATGACTAACAATTTCTTTGTTAAGTCTATCCATCCAAATAACTGAGTACCTTTCCTTGCCTTTTTTTCTTTCGATCTATGATTGCGTTGGTCAAGGGAATTTTGGGGAGAAACTCACTCTACCCATGCTGGTGAGCACCTTCTTTACTTACACTCTTGAGAATTGCCTGGGGGATAAGTGACTCACCCAGAGTCACACAGCCAGTATGTGTCAGCGGCAGGACTTGAACCCAGATCTTTCTAAGCCAAAGGCCAACTCTCTATTCACTTGGCCAGGCTGCTGCTCTCTTCCTTGTTTTCTCAATCCCAAAGTATGTTTACCTTTGAGAAAATGCTTAATGCTACCTATATTTGATGGACAAGACATATGAAGTGATTTATCTCTATTAATTAAGATCCCTTTATATACAGGTAGAAACCGTCAAAATTGTACAAAGAACCATTAAGAATGTTGACAGTTTTATGGACAAAATAAGGAATGGAGAGAAAGGTTCAACTTAGAATGTGTAATTCTGAAAAGTTGCTGAATGCACACAAGATTCTCTGCCAGAGTCTAAAACTTGTTTAGACTGGCTGTGTAGATGTTTGCCATTGAATGGAAAAATGAGTTTGGAATGGAAAAATAAGTCTTTTACAAAATTAAGTACCATATGAAAATGAAGGTGGTTCTTCCTATATCATCAATGGGAAAGGTACCAGGATCTCCTCTCCCTCCACACATCTATACATCTTTATAATTTATAGGAATGGAAAAGAAAAGAAAGAATTGAGAATGAGTCCTGTAAACTCTGCCTCATATGAAATGCATAGACTTAGAGAAGAGTTTTAAAATTTGCCATCAGATATAGGTGCTTTCCCTATATTTCAGGACTGACCATCCTGTCCGTCTTCAGCTGGATACCTGAACACGGCTCGATAGGCCACTAGATAGAGAAGATGAGCAATGTAGATTCAGAGACCAGAAACTGTACAGGAAGGAAGCCTTGAGGAAAGCCCGAAGCAAAACCTCCTTCAGGACAGTGACCACGGGGATATCATCCTCTTTGATATGGAAAGAAGCCAAAGGATGGAGAGGCCAGCTTCTTCTAGCTCAGAAGCCGGCAGATCTCTTTGTGGACGCAGCAAAGGAAATCCACATAAGATGCTCCTCCGTAGAGACCTTTGTCTTCCACTAGGAACTGTCGGAAAACCACCTCTGGCTGCTCGCGCTGCTTCACGATGGTAAGCTGGAAAAAAGAATAGTCATCAGAGCGCTCGGGCAATGTTTGTAAGCTTAAAAATAATCCCCTCTCCTGACCAGGATGTCTAGAGTTTTAAAAATGGCGGATGGTTACCTAAGTTAAAAAAGTTAATTGGGGGACAAGCTGGTGGAATTTCCATCGTCATGAGCGTGAGGAAGACAGATAGGCCTAATTGCCCTCAAAGCCTAGAAAACATGATCAGGCAGAGGAGACAGCCATTATGCTGGCCCTGTCCTTCCTGCCCCATTTCGATGGTTTATAGCCCTCCTTTTTTTTTTTCTTTCCTGTTCCTTCCTATGCTCTTCTTTTTAAAGCTGGTTGGGCTAGCCAGTATGCTGGTATCAAAAAAAGGTCTTGATATTCTAACAGGATGAAATTAAATAGGAAGGAAGGAAATAAGTTTTTTTTTATTGAATTTAATTTTATGATTCCATTTTCCTTATCATTTGTTAATGTTTTTAAACATTCTTTTTGAGTTCCAAATTCTCTCCTTTTCCCAGCTCCAAATTCTCTCCTTTTCCCAGCTCCTCCCCCACACTTTGAGAAAGCAAGCAAATTGATACCTATCATACATCTGAAGTCAAGGACAACATTTCTATATTAGCCATGTTGCAAAAATAGAAAGAAAAGAAGGAAGAAAAATAAAGTGAAAAAACAGCATGCAATCTGCACTCAAGAGTTTACCAGTTCTCTCTCTGGAGGTGGATAGTATTTTTCATTGTGAATCCTTTGGAATTTTCTTGGTTCACTGTATTGATCAGAGTAACTAAGTCTTTCATGATTAATCGTCATTACAATATTGCTGTTAATATGTACAATGATCTGGTTCTGCTCACTTCACTCTGCATCAGTTCAGACAAGTCTTCCGAGGCTTTTCTGAAACCCTCCTGCTCGTCATTTCTTACAGCACAATAATTGCGTCCCGTCACAATTATATACTACAACTCGTTCAGCCATTCCCCAGCTGATGGGCTTCCCTTCAGTTTCCAGTACTTTGCCATCACAAAAAGAATAGCTAGAAATATTTTTGTAAATATAGCTCTTTTCTTTTTCTTTGGGATACAGACCTGGTAGTGGTATTGCTGCGTCAAAGAGTATGCACAGTTTTATAGCCCTTTGGGCGTCGTTCCAAACTCTTCTCCAGAATGGTTAGATCAGTTCACAACTCCACCAACAATGCATTAGTTTCCCTATTTTCTCACATTCCCTCCAGCATTTGTCATTTTCCTTTTCTGCTATGTTAGCCATTCTGATGTGTATGAGGGGTTACCTCAGAGTTGTTTTAATTAGCATTTCTTTAATTATTAGTGACCTGAGCATTCTTTAATATGGCTATTGATAGCTTTGATTTCTTCTGAAAACTGCCGGTTCATATCCTTTGGTCATTTATCAGTTGGGGAATGGCTTTTATTCTTTATCAGTATGGTTCGGTTCCCTACATATTTGAGAAATTGGGCCTTTATTAGAGAAACTTACTGTAAATTTTTACTCCCCAGTTTCTTGTTTTCATTTTAGTTTTGGTTAAATTGGTTTTGTTTGTGCAAAACTTTAAATTTCATGTAATCAAAATTATCTATTTTACCTCTCATGATCCTCTCTATCTCCTGTTTGATCATAAATTCTTCCCTTATCCATAGGTCAGACCGGTAAATTTTTCCATGCTCCCCTAATTTGTTTATATTACCCTTTATGTCTAAATCATGTGCCCATTTTGACCTTATCTTGGTATATGGTGTGAGATGTTGGTCTATGCCTAGTTTCTGCCAGTCTGCTTTTTAGTTTTCCCAGCAGTTTTTGTCAGATAGTGAGTTCTCATCCCAAAAACTTGGATCTCTGGGAAATAAGCATTTATTATGCACCTACTATATGCTAGGTGGCGTGTTAAGTGCTTTCCAAATATTATCTCACTTGATTAGTGAGGTAGGTGCTGTTATTATCCTCATTTTACAGATAAGGAAACTGAACAAATAGAGGTTAAGTAATTTGCCCCGGGTCACACAGCCGGTCAGAGTCCGAGGACAGATTTGAACTCGGCTCTTTCTGACTACAGATCTAGTGCTCTATTCACTGCACTACCCAGCTGCCTCTGCACTAGCTTTTTAAAAAAAAAAAAAAAAAGTCAACTACCCAAGCACAAGATGGGGAAGAAATGGCTTTTTGGCATTTCTGTAAAAAACAAAACCAAAACCTCATGGCTTTTAATTAGCTGTGAGGTCGGCCAGTAGGAGCCAAGTGTGATGTGGAGAAGAGCAGAGCTCTTCTCCATGGAGTGCTGTCCCACCTTACCAAGAGGAGCATGACCACAGCAATGGCCAAGAGAAGACCTACTACCACAAACAGCCAAAAAAAGAATGCTGTGAAATTAGAATAAGCGTGGCCCCGAGGAAGAGATGGAGGAGAACCTTTCCTCCACTCCGTGCATCTGTGGGGAGGTGATAGTCCTTGGTTGTAGAATACTGCATACAATAATTTTTTCCACTGTATTCATTGGTTTTGCTGAAATTTTATCTTCCTCTTATTTTTTTCTTTAAAAAAAATTGTTATAGGAAATAGCTCTCTGGAAGGGGAGGGAGAGGAACATGGGGGAAGATATCATGGGAAATAAAAAAAAAATAAGCATAGTATCTGGGGCATTGGGAGGTATGGTTCTGCTAGATACAGCCCGGTGCCATGTTTGAGGCGGGACACCAAAAAACCTGGAAGCCACCAGGATACTGGGATACTCAAAGGTGTGGGTCTGATGAAAACCAATCTAGGTTTGGTCTGAAGGACTGCCCCAAGTGAGAGAGAAGGCTGAGCCCTTGAACCGTCTTTAGTAAGCCAAATGCCTGTGAGCAGCTTAGACATCCTCCTTAGACAGGAGGATGAAGGGAAGCCAGACTCATTTGAGATCATCCGACTAATCTATTTAGCTGCTGTGTGACCAGTTGGGAAGTGGAGAACTCCTGGACACCGCGGCTTCCCAGAGGTCATGGCTAGAAAAGTCAGGTTGGTCACTGCTGCAGGGCTTGCAATGAGTAGCAACAGTGAGGGCCAGTGAGCTGAGGCTGAGGGGCGTGGGTTCAGCACCCCGACTCCTTACTCCTGTCCGCGTGATCTGCATCTCACGGGAGCTCAGCTTCCTCTTAAATTTGAGTCTGTGAATGTGAGTCGGAAAAAAATTATGTCTTTATTTTCTCTCCTCTGTGGTTTCCTTTCAGGTGCTATGTATTTTATGCCCTGAAAAACATGATTTGAGAAGGGACCCATAGGCCCAAGGGGTCCATGATAGGAAAAAAAAAAGGTACACGACCTCCTTTTTAGCTCCATATCTATGATCTTATGGTCCTCTCTGAGCATTGGTTTTCTCATTGTCAAATAATTCCAGGGGTGTGCTGGTAAATGTTTAACGACTACCTCAAGGTTTGCACTGTACACGTTTGGGTTTAATCTTCAACATTAAAGTTTTCTCCATCACGCCTCTAAGTTGAGACAATCAACAAAACAGTAAATCAAGCCTGGATCTGTGTCATTGGTTGATTTTCAAGGTGTAAACGCTCACACTAAAGATTAGCTCTCTGGCTGGAGCTAGCTCTAGGGTACCCCTGATCAGAAGAAAGCACTTGGTAAACCTTACAGCCTGATATCCTTTAATGACTCTCGGGTGATGACTGAAGCCTTGGTAGCTTGATATTTTCATGGAAAAGACTTTCCTTTTCAGATCTGTTAACTTTATCCCTTTGTTCCAGACCACGAAGGAGAGCTTCATGTGACTGCAGATTTATTCTGAAATTGTACTACAGTCTTTATTCTGTTTGCCTTTAGGTGATGACAGATAGCCGGATAGGCTTTGAGATGATAGTATATATAAAGGCTCCTTCTAAAGGCCACGTTATAAAAGTATAGCAGCCATGTTAAATGAGGTGGGAAGAAAAAGCACAAACCAATCAAAAATGAATACTGCAAAAGTTACAGAGAACAAGCTTGACCCAATGAAGAGGTAGGAGAAGATACTCTGGCCCCCCCATCATGATGGCAAGGTGGAGGTCCGTGGGTGCAGAACACTGAAAATACTGTCAGATTTTTTGATGTGTTGATTGGTTTACTGATCAGATTTAGATTACGTTAAAGTAATGAAATATGTAAAGAATGAAAAACTGATTCCTTACCTTCATCGAATACGGCTGCTTCTTCTGGATATTACTCATGGTCAATCTGAGTTTCTCAGAGTATGGACTCCCCACCTCAGGCAGTGATGTCTGCATTAAGATAATTCAAATTTAAGGTTCAAGTGAACCTACTTGAAAGGACTGTGTTTATACCTAGCTGGCATTGAGACAGATGGGTTGGACTTCTGAAATGGACAATGACTGAAGTGTTAACTTGACTTAGAACTCCTTTCTGCATTCATATTTACCACTCTTACCACGGAAATAAGAGAATTATCTTTTTGGGGGAAAATCGACAGTAAGAATAATCCCATCAATTCTGGAATAAAGTTCCAAAAGGGAAACAGTGATTTCTCTTTGTATCAGGTAAACAATCCTCCTCTGGCACTCTGACATGGGTACATAGTGGAATTGACACAGAGGCACCATATTTTATTCTAAGGATGTTTTTGTGCAATTCACTCTTCAAGTCTTCCCTATGAGTGTGGTCTCCCTCGTTAGACTGTGAGCTCCTGGAGGTCAGGGACTCTCTTTGTACCTCCGACACTTGGCATAGTGCTCGGTACGGAGTAACCGATTAATAAAGGCTTATTCATCCATCCATTCATTGACTCTCGTCATTCTTGTCTAGGTGGAAAAACCCAAAGTGATGTTGCTGGGGAAAGGTCTTTTATTCCCCTTCTGTGGAGTCAAGGCTTCTTTCACAGGCGTGGGATTAAGGTAGAGGTAGAATGACTGCATTGAATGACCACTATTACATCTTCATAACAAACTTTGCTAGACTGAATTTTTCAGCTGGATAAATGAGGCTCGAGAGTGTGGACTCTGGAGCTGTCATATATCTTCATGCGTTCCACTAAGGATAATAGGAAACTGTTCAGGTTTCTCCCATTAACGCTCAGAACTATCCTAAAATTGACTCCTGGCATGAGAGTGCCAAGAGCACAGACATCATCTATCACCCATGTACCAGAGGAGTGATCTGGGGAACCTTTAACATGAACCCCAGAACTACGATTCACAGGCAAAACAATGACCAATGCTGTTGTCAGAAATAAGTTGTAAGAGAGGTGGGTAATGCAGCATTACTTCAAAGTGCCACTTTGTGTGTGTGTATGTACCATTAAGATGGGCTTTTATTTGAAGATGCTGGGAAGTCCTGTGTATGCTTTCTGACTGGATGCCCACTGACCAGTATGTCATCGAGGGGAATCCTGGTCTGAATGGGTGAGACAGGGTGGGACCCCTGAGGTCCCTGCCAGCTCTGAGATTCTGGCATTCTAGTTCAAAGTACTAACAACAGTCCCTCCGAGGATGGCAGGTGGCATCTGTTAAATAAATCAGTGTGTTGTGAACAAAAGTGTCAGCCCCGGCCTCTCTCATCTGCTAACTTTCTGGACAATCGGCATACCTTAGTTTTTACTTATGTGGAATGAACCTAAGTATAATGGTCCTTCGAGGCTCAATCCATGTGCCCCTTCCTGCAGGAGGCCTGGCCTGATTCCCCACCTCCCACAAACTGACTTTGGATATATTACGTATTGGTTTAGCTGTGTACATGTGGTTCCCTCAGTAGAATACCAGTTATTTGAGGGCAAGGTCTAATTTGTTTTAGTTTGGTTTTTGGCTTTCTGTTCCTTGTGCCTGCCCTATAATAGGCAATGAATAAAAGCCTGTAGAATAATGGAGGAATTGTAGTATTTCTTCCTTAAACTGGGTAAAAATATTTCTTAGGTTCATTTGCCTTTCCTTGCTGCATTCTAGATTTTTTTTTTGTCTCGGTCTCCTTAGTGGGAGATGGTTTCCTCTTCAATGATCTTTCATTTTCTTATGATTAAAAGTACGCTCTTAAGGTTTTCTAAATTTTATCATCTGTTCACATGAGATAAATCTGGAAGGAACCTTGGAAATATATCTAGCCAGATTCTCATTTTACAAATAAGGAAACTGAGGATTGAAGAAACTAAGGTACTTGCCTAAGGTCACACATATGGTAATCGAACTGAGATTTGAACCCAGAACTTTTGGCTCCAGATTTGGCCCTCTTTTACTACACTACATTGGTAAGCTATTTACCATTAATTATATTTAAAGTGATTACGCATTCTTATAGTGAAAAGGCTGGGGTTCTTCTGGTGATAAGGTGAGCCATGGAACACTACAATCTCCACAGAATAAAAATGGCAGGTGATCCAAAGACAATGAAGAACTGCATCCTGGGCCCCAATGGGTTACAATATATCACTCATCATGACGTATACAAAAATTGGTGGAAAGGATATTATCCAGGAAATGCATGATTAGGAGAAGAAGGTCATTCACAGAGTGAAAAGAAAGGCTAATGGCTGGATGGGCCAAAAGCCACACTGTTACTACAGAAAGTTTAGGAGACCTGCAGGAAGGCCTTCAGAATATTGAGTGGATTCTTTACTGTGCATTTATGGGAGGACCTAGACAAGAATTTCACAAGACAAGATGGTGTGGCTTGACATCCCTGCACATTTGGAAGTCACTGTGGCACAAAGTGTCATGCAAATGATAAGTCAGCCCCAGATCTCTCCATGTGCTGTGGATCCAGCCCTCCTCCGGGGACATGTGCCTGGAAACAGTTCAGCATCATATTGGTCACAATAATTGTTCTACTTTGCAGTGGTTCAGCAGATGCCTGGCAGTGATGGGTCGGGCTGTTAAAGGAAAAAGCATCTCTGCAGCTCATCTAGAGACCCAGGCACCCTCTTCTCTAGAATAACTTTGTTTCTCCAATACAAGAGGACAGCTGCGTGTTTCATTACACGTTGGGGAGATCTGAATGCGATGGACTAAAATTGCCTGTTGCATGGTCATCATATAAGATTATTGAATACCTAGTTCCCCTACACTTCCTCCCTCAGCCTTGGCCTACATATTACAATCTATTTCTTATGCAGAACTATGGGTGTTGGTGGTTTTTCCTTTCTGTAATCCACGGATGAATGTTAAATGGAGAAGATGGAAAGGTTTTTATTTTGAATTTCAGCCACAACCCTCTCCCCACTCCTCCATCTCTATCATACCCCCAAAGGAAAAATGAATCTTACTACATCTGTGTTGATGTGTGTAAAGGAGGGCACATTGAAAATTCCTTGAATCAACTCTGGTGGCGTGCTCACTCCCAGCCACAGGAACATCCGAAGCCCGTTGACCAATAGGAATACCCCTCCTTCAGAGAGACGCTCTTCAGAGCAGCGAATGGCAGCTGGCAGAGTTTCACTCTTGACATCCATTGTGTGCTGTGGAAACAAAAGCAGACCCAGAGGAAGGCTTCTCAAACTTTTTGAACTGGGGCCCCTTTGTACTCTCAAAAATGGAAGCCCCTCCCCCAAAGAACTTTTGTTTATGTGGGTCACATCAATCTACATCTGCTGTATTAAAATGTCTTAGTATTATTGTGAGTCATTTTAACCTTGGGAAACCCCTGAGAGGGTCTCAGGAACCCCAGGGGAACCCTGGACCACACTTGGAGAACCAGTGATTTGAAAGTTATTTGGGCATAACCAGCTTTATGTCCTTTTGAAATCATAAGCTCACCCATCCCTGGAAGCATTCAAGCAAAAGCTACATGATTTTTGCTTGAACCCCTGATCCAACTCCCAAATTAAAAATTCCTGGATTAAAGATGAATCCTTTGGTCATTCTCAGCTAGACTCACCCAGGCCAAATTCTCCAAGAACTGAATGTTCCCCAAGTGCCTTACAATGGTTTTATTTATTCTACTTATCCCAAGGTCAAGTATGATCAATACCACTAAGCAACCTCTCTTAAAGTATGTTGTCCTTCATTGGGCTGTGAATGGTCTTTTGGGATGCTCGTCTTGCAGAGGCAAGGCTGCTCAGGCTGATTTCCTGCCTGACCTGTGGTTTCTGCACCTGCATGGTGGCAAATACCCATCACACACTTGTGTGTGTGTGTGTGTGTGTGTTCACTGACGCACAAGAATTGTTGTCACCAGTGTGAGCAGTAGAGATGCTAGCTGCTGAACAGCAGAACCGGATGTCTCCAGCCTGTCTGGAATTTTAAACTTAACAGAAAGCTTCCTTCAGAGCAGCGTCCAGGAGCCCCCTCCTACGTTAGAAGTATCCCTTTCGCCCAGTTATTATTGGCGCTGTCTCACTCTTGGAATGACTTTGAATCACTTTGTATTTACTTTTCTGCGAACATGCTGCACCCCCTCTGCCACCCCAAGAAAATGTGAGCTCCTTAATCAAGCGCAGGGCTTATTACTTGGGGTTTTGTCTCTGTCCCTGGTATCGAGCACAGAGCAGATGTTTAAGGAATGTTTGTTCAGGTAACCCGAGTACTTAATTGGCTGAGGAGTTCCAACTTGGTGAAATTACATGAATCATATGGAGTTTTTCAGGAAAATTAAGTCCCCCAAACACCCCATCACCCTCTCTCCTTATCTCCCCTCTCCCAACTTTTGTGACTACATCTTGATGCACAGGTAAAGTCTCCCCCAAATCCCAAAACATGCCTGGCAGGCATTCATGGCCCCGACTTCCCTATTTTGATGCATGAGACTTAGAAATGGTCTATGGAAAGAGCAGACATCACCCCCTTCTGCTGATGCTGTACACTTACTATTGGTATAAGCTGTGGGTAGAAAAAGAGCTGAGTGTCTGCAACGTCCATCGACATGACCAGCTGCCTCTGAGAGGCTCGTTCGTCCACTGAGATCTCCGGTCTGCTGAGTAGCACGCAATTTTTTAGCAGACTGTTCATATATACTGGGAATACCTTCATGGCATCAGGCAGGATGAGCTGAAAAGAGAAAGGGATTGTTTGATGGTCTTTTCTGACCTTGGAAGGACAGCTAGGTGGTACAGTGGATGGAGTACCGGACCTGGAGTCAGGAAAACTCATCTTTATGAGTTCAAATCCAGCCTCAGATACTTCCTAGCTGTGTGACTCTGGGCTAGTCACTTCACCCTGCGTACCTCAGTTTCCTCATCTGTAAAATGAACTGGAGAAGGAAATAGCAAACCACAGCAGTATTTCTGCCAAGGAAACCCCAAATGGGATCATGGAGGGTCAGACACAACTGAACGTGACACAACAAAAATGGGCGATCTATGTTCTGGGTGAAATTGGCACTGCCAATTGAGTAGGAGAGGTGGCATCCTCTCTCCTCCCCATCCCTCTTTCTTCAGGGACAGAGCCAAACGCTAGGTGGAAGGACCCATTCTAGACCGCCACCTTCCATCCATGGTTTGGGAAATATTGACCATTGTCCTAAATGCAAGCTTCTGTTTCTACAGCTCTTAACTTGTGAAGAAACCCAAATGGTTGTATTTTACCTAGTATACAGATCTAAAGATAAGATAGGGTAGAAGGAAGGGAACATTTACTAAGCACCTACTGTGTGCCAGGCACAGGGATAAGCATGCTTTACAATTTTATCTCATTTAATCCTCACAACAACCCTGGGAGGGAGGTGCTATTAGTACCCCCATTTCACTGTCGAGGAGCCTGAGGCAGACAGAGGTTAAGTGACTCTCCCAGAGTCACACAGCTAGTAAATGTCTGAGGCCAAATTTGAACTCGGGTCTTCCTTATTTGCTGTCCCACCTAGCTGCCCAGTGGGCATAGATTCTCCTTTCTGGAGATAAGGGATTATCTGGTTCTGATATGGGAGCTGAGGGATGGAGCTGCTAGAACAAAGGATGGAGGGAGGTGTTGGCAAAGAATCTGTGGTCAAGATACTCCTAGGGAACTAGGGATACTCCCAGGAGTGGATGACAAGGCAGGAAAGTATCATTTCTTCCTTCCCTGGGAAAGCAGTGCACTCTGGGAATGAAAAGAAAACTACGTCCCTGCCAAAGCAAGGTCTGGGGGAGGCGTGGGGAGGGTAGGGACAGTGATTTGCTTGGAAGCCTGGGCGTTGGAGCAATCCTCTGGGCAGGCGCAGACAGTATTGTGGGCTGGGGGATGATTGTCAGCTCAGCCTGTCTTGCTCGCCAGCACCACCTGGTGGGTTATACATTTCATGAAACGACGTGGATCACGTCTATGGTGTAAACCCTAAGGCCATGGCTAGAACATTGAAACCCCCCATCTCCGTCTTTAGGGAATGGCCATGCTGCTGTTTTGGGCTGTGCAAGGCTAAGTGCTCTCTAGGTGACTGGACGGACGGACAAATGTTTGGTTCCTCTGATTCCTGAGCGGGCACGGTCTCCCTCACCTGGCTGACAGCTGAGGGGCTGGCACAGTTCTTGCGGTAACATGCCAGCATGTGAGCAGTCTGATGCACCAGGATGTCCCGGACCGTCTTCAGGGGCTGTGTGAGAACCGCCGTGAAAGCTACAAGTAGAATAAGGCAAAGGACACAAGACTTAGAGACGGACACCCAAAAGCAGAGAAAACACCCCAAAGCATTTAGATTTAGCTCTGCAGCTCCAGCTGAGAAGCCCAGCATCCCACTATTCCGGAACCCGAACAGACTGAGTTTGCATTTCTTCTCTTCCTTCCTTGTCTGCTTTTCCTTAGAGGTGTGGTGATGAGGGACCTGAGAACCAGGTAACTGGCTACCTCAATTGCCCCAAACTGTTCACACCAATTAAAACGCCCAGTGTCAGTTTTGGCATCCTGATGGAAGATGGAATAGCGATTTTTGCTGATGGCGATCTGAGCTGCAGCCTCACCCAAGCTCTCCTCCCAGGCCTCTGGTGGCACTGAGGCGACCCTGGCCTTCGCAGGCAGTGCTTGGGAGACGCTGGCTCCCACAGGTTCTTTCAAGCTGGAAAGGTCAGGTGAAGGGCCCCACTAGCTCGGGTCCATACTCAGTGCCCAAAGGGTGGCCACCAAGTGGTCAGGATGGGGCCGCAGAATCTCAGAGACCTTCTATAACAGCGTGGAAGGTTACTGTGGTTGTGGAAATGATGAAACCACTCAGGCTGGAGGCACTGCAGCACCTCCCATTCATGGATCACGTCGAGGCAGGGGGGCCCAGCGGCAAGATCACCGACTGGATTCAGAGGACCTGGGTTCAAGTCCTTCCTATGTGACCTCGGGCAAGGTGCTTAATTTTGCCAAGTCTCAGTTTCATCTGTACTGGCCTCTGGAGTCCATGACGGCTCTGGGTCAAAGACCTTGGAATCCTGAGGCAAAGTTCCCAAAATGCTTCGTGTGCTAAGCTAATGTGGACATAGGCTTCCTTAAGAGAGGCACAGGACCACTGAAGTGACGCTCCCATGGTCCTCTGCTCTGGTCCTTCCGTATCTAGGGTATTCTGTTCTGTACTGGGTACCACGCACTGGATAGAGTGCTAGGCCTGGAGTCAGAAAGACTCATCTTCCAGAGTTCAAATCTGGCCCAAGACACTTCCTAGCTGTGTGACCCTGGGCAAGTCACTTAACCCTGCTTGCCTCATCTGCAACATGAACTGAAAAAGAAAACGGCGAACCACTTCAATATCTCTGCATGAAAACCCCAAATGGGGTCAGAGAGAAGTTGGCAATGACTGAAAAACAACTGAACAACAACTGGGTGCCGTATGTTAAGAAGGTCACGATAAGCTGGGCAGCTCCCAGGCAAGGGCAGCCAGCATGGCGAAAGGACTTGAGTCCACGCTGGGGAGGCCTGGTTGAAGGCACTGGGCGTGTTTAGCCCGAGAACAGAAGACCGAGGGGACGCGGTCGCTGTCTTCTAATATCGTTAGGGCTGTGGAGTAGAGGAGCGATTTGGATTATTCTGTCTGGTCCCTAGAACTAGGAACAAGGTGCAAGGTGGAGGCAGAGAGAGGTTCAAGGTCAGGAAGAACTTCCTACAGGCCGAGCTGTCGCGGAGGCTGTTAGGGATGGGGAGAGGACGCTTCTGTACAGGCACCCGGTGAGATGGTCCCCAAGCGCCCTTCCAGGTTAGGGCTCTGGGACCCCGCCAAGTGCTTGGCCAAGAATTTCCTGCTTCAGCTCTTTGGCTCCCTCTGCTGGTGCAGGTGACAGTCCTTCCGTACCTGTGAACTCGCTGTGTTTGCACAGGATTGGTTTTCCCTGTCATCCTATGCAGTTTATTTTATGCATCCATTATACTAGGACGGCTGCACCAGAGTGCTGAAGGGGGTGCAGAACACCAAAAAGGTAAAGCCCCCTTGGTGTAGAGGTGAGAATCCTGGATCTGGGGGCGGAGCACCTGGGGACAGTCCCAGCTCTGCTCTTGACTGCCCGTCTGTGTGACTTTGGGCAGACCACTTCACTTGTCCAGGCCTCAGTTCTTGCATCTGCAGAATGGGGACGTCAGCCCCGTTGATGTCTGTGATGCCTGCGAGGTCCAGTTCCTAGGCTGAATTTCTGCTTTCTGGTGCCCAGAGGGCTGCAAAGCACTTTCACCTACTTGTTCTCATTTGAGCTTCACCATTACCCTGGGAAACAGGTAATGGAGGTATTATTATTCGCTGGAAGGGAGAGCTTGTCCAGACAGCCCCAACTTTCCTGAACTGTGGCCCTAAAGTGCATTTGTGTCTGTGGCTTAGACCCCTGGCCTGTTTTCTCCACAGAAACGATATCTTAAATGCAGATTGGGCTTCTGGGATAGGGCATGGCATCATACTGCACAAGCTAGTAGGGTAGAAAGCCCTCCAAGAATGAACCGTAGAAGTGAGGGTCACACATAACAAGGCTTCTATTTTCGTTTTTGTTTTTTTCTCCTAAGGCAACTGAGGTTAAGTGACTTGCCCAGGGCCACACAGCTAGTAAGTGTCAAGTGTTTGGTCTGAGGCTGGATTTGAATTCAGTTCCTCCTGACTTCAGGGCCGGTGCTCTATCCACTGTGCCGCCTAGCTGCCCCTAGGCTTCTATTTTCAATGAAATGGAGTTGGATTCAGTCTTTCTAGGGAATATACACTCAGGGTTCCCCTTGGTGTTGCCAGCCCCAGTTCTAAGTGCCTGGGGGTGGTTTCCTTCTCTTAAGGAAAAGAGGCCAAAAGGAGGGGGGTGGGGGAGGTTGGGAGGACATTTCAGGGGTGGGCACTCTGGGGCAGAGAGTGAAAAAGGGTCTGAGGGACGTATAAGACATGGAGATGGAGAACTAGCTAGGAAATGATCATTTACTCAGTGCCAGGCACTGTGCTAAGCGCATTACCAATTTAATTTCATTTGATCCTCAAACAACCCTGGGAGGCAGATGCTATTATTATCCTTATTTGACAGCTGAGGCAACTGAGGCAGACAGTGGTAAGTGACTTGGCCAGGGTCACACAGCGAGTAAGGATCTGAGGCTGGATTTGAACTCAGCTCTTCCTGACTCCAGGTCCAGCTCTCTATCTGTTAAGGCTGCTGTTGAAGCAGGGCCTCCCAGCAGTTCAAAGGATCATAGATATTACAGCTGGAAGGATCCCTATAGGCAACTGAGTCCACCCCCCTCATTTTAGAGTTGAAGAAAAGGAGGCACAGGGAGGGCTCAGTGATTTGTCCAGGTCACACAACTGGTAAGCGTCTGAAGTGGGATTTGAACCCAGGTCTTCCTAACTTCAAGCCCAGTGGTCTCTATGCCCTTTCACTCTTGGGCTGCCCTTCCAAAGGCTTCTTTTCTTTTTCCCAGGAAGAAACTTGTGGATGGGCAGACTGAGACGGCAGGAGACTGGGGAAGGAAAATCCCCAATCAGGCAATGGGAAGGGAAGAGGAGCCCCCATGACCACAGGTCCACTGGCTGGGGCAGCTGTTCCACGGTGCCCTGTGTCAGGAAGGCACAGATCCAGTGGCCTCCATAGTGTCTCCACTGAGACAGGCTGGTCCCTCACTGGGAGCTCCAGAGTATATTCAGTCACGGGCAGGATTCTAGGGAAGAGAGGATCTGTCCATCAAACAAACACCTCCGGACCCCCAGCTGGTGCAGCTTCCCTTCTGGGAGATGGGTTTTACCTGATTTGGCAAAGAAGTTGATGAGGGCGTCCGTCTCACAGCTCTTGTAGAGGTCTGCCAGCTGGCTGCTGCAGTTCAGGCTGGTGTTGTGAATCCTCAGCCTTCTCTGACCGCTGATGGTTGTGTAGAGCACGGCACACTACAGGCAAGGGGAAGGCCACAGGCTTAGCTTGCTGGTCTATAGTTCGTTCATTCATTCACTCACTCACTCACTCATTCATTCACTCATTTATATATTCATTCATTCACTCACTCATTTACTCACTCATTCACTCATTCATTCACTCATTTACACATTCATTCATTCATTTACTCATTCATTCACTCATTCATTCATTCACTTATTCATTTACTCATTCACTCATTCATTCACTCATTTATATATTCATTTATTTACACATTCATTCATTCACTCATTCATTCATTCACTCATTTATGTATTCATTCATTCACTCATTCATTTACTCATTTACTCATTCATTCATTCATTTACTCATTCATTCACTCATTCACTCACTCACTCATTCATTCACTCATTTATATATTCATTCATTCATTCATTCATTTACTCATTCATTCAATAAACTTTTATTAGGTGCCTACTTTGCACTGTTGCAAGCACTGTGTTGCCTTTCCTAATTAGAATGGAAGCTCCTTAAGGTAGCAGGGATCCCTCACTTTTCCATTCATACTCTCCATGCTCAGTATAGTGCAAGGCACACAGTGAGTGCTTAATAAATGCTATTCAATTCTATTCCAAGCCCCTCTGCAGGTTGCCTGCTTGACATCCTTCATTCAGAACTCAGTGTTTTATGTGAGATGAGGGAAGAACAATTAGCAAATTCTTTACTTTCTGTTAAGCTTTTCTGGTTTAACTTCACTGGGGATGCGTGCCTTCCTCACTCCATCTCTTAGAATTTCTATCTTCCTCTAAGGCTAGAATCTAGAGCCACCTCCTACAAGAAGCCTTCCCTAATCCCCTTAGAGTTGTCTCCCACCTCAAATGATTACTATTATGTGTTGTAATAGGAGTGTGAGGAGGCTCACAAAAGCCGGTTGTTAAATGTTCAGTGTGAGCATTTGCAGTTCTGAAATGGGTAAATAATACCAATCAGGGCTGGATTTATCATTTTTGATCATCTAGACTTAAAAAAGTGATAGAGGCAATATTAATGCAAACTGTGCACCCATCCCCCCCCCCCCAGGTGCTGGTTGTTAAAACATTTACCAGCACACCTGGTACCTTGATGTGTAACCTCAGAGAATGTATATCCCTTGAGGAAGGGACTGTTTTCTTTTTAGTCTTTGTAATCCCATGTCACCCCAGTATCAGGCCAGTTAGGAGGCACAGTGGATAGAGTGCCAGGCCTGGAGTCAGGAAGACTCATCTACCCGAGTTCAAATTCAGCCTCCAACAGTTTTGGGAAAAAAAATACCCTGTGAATAGAGAAAAGCCAGAGTTTGGCCTTAAAAGCCAGTGACATATAAATTTAGTAAAATGTATGCTCTCAGGAGAGGGGGGAGGTAGACAGAGGGAAATATGGGCGAGTCAAAACCAAGTGACAGCGATACATTTTTTTTTCTTTTTAAAGACAGTAGGTTACCAGAAGAAGCTAAGCCCTAGCAGGGCTGGGGTATTTCCGCCTTCCCTTTGTGTGCCCAGTGAGGGGTAGAGGGACGTGGGCCGCCAAGCCAGCCTCTCACCTGGATGAGGGCGCCGCTATCTTCGTTCAGTTTGTCATCGTGCTTGAACTCCACCGTCACGGCTTTGTCGCAGTCCACACCGGCCATCTCTACGTCTGTCGTGTTGTTCATGTAAATGGCACCAAAGAAGTCGGTGGCTCTGAAGCCTGGAATCAGAAAACAGGAATTCTTGGCTGAGCTGACCCCACCGCCCTCCTTTCTCCCTGTTTTTATGGGTTTTCTGAGCCTCCAGTACTTTGGGTGGAGTCTCTATGACGGACCTGCATTTCTCGGGAGCATCTATGCTCCTCGAGGGCAGGGATTGTTTCATTTTTGCCTTTGATTCCTTGCAGAGTGCCTGCCTCATAGTAGGTCCTTAATAAATGCTTGTTGACTGACTGACTGAAAGAACAGGGACAAGAGTCACACAGTTGGAGAAAGCACGGATGGATGGCAAGCTGCACTAATGGGATGAATAGCCACACGCGGGAGGATGGGGATTCCTCTTCCACATACACTGATTCAGACAAGCATGGGAGCATCTGTCAGGGGCTTGGTGTCCTTCTATGCCCAGGCAGAGGGCACGCTCCTGTTCTTCTAAGACCTGATCACCCACACAGAGAACATTCTGAGAAGGTGAAGGTCATCGGTGGCACCGGCCTCCATCACTGCGGTCACACTGGCCGGCCGTCCATGCCTTCCTTCCCCCAGTGGCCACACTGCCAGCACGTCTTGACTCTTTATTTCTAGGCTTAGAAAGTAAGGAATGCAATACAGTTTGCCATTGAGGGGCTCATTTCTCCTTTAAAAGCGGGTTCCATGCCCAGCGGAGAGATGGATTTGGAGCACGAGCCCACGTGTTCAACCCTGCCTTTGCTACGTGTTAGCTGGGCAGTCTTTGCAAATCATTCCCATCCCGTGGCGAGGGGAATTTCCTCATTTGTTCAATGAGGGGGTTGGCCTAGGGTCATAGGAACATTGACTTAGTGTTAGAAGGGACCGTAGAGGTCACAGAATCCAACCCTAATTTTGTAGATGGGGAAACTGAGGCCCTAACAGACGCATAGTGGTTGACTCACCAAAGAACGTAACTTTTAAGACTCCTTTCTAGAGCTCATTATTTGTATGCTGAGTCAACATCTATTTCTCATTTCTTTTTGTCCTAACTTACCATTATTATTATCATTGTTTTTATTATTATCTAATAATAGCTAGCATTTCTATAACCCTTTGAGACTAGCAAAGCACTTTATAAATATTATCTCATGTCATCCTCACAACAACTCTAGGATGTAGATGCTACTATTATTCCCATTTTGCAGATGAGAAAACTGAGGTAGACAGAGGTTAATTGCCTTGCCCAATGTTTGAGCAGGGATTTGAAGCCAGGTCTTCCTGACTCTAAGTCCATCATTCCACGCTGGTGAGATCTTTTCGAACTTTAAATGCCATGATGCAAACATCTTTAAGTTAACTCCAGAAAGGAGAGAAAACAAAATTTGTCTATTCTGACAACTCTTTCCTTCGTTTTGACGGAAGAGAGACTCTTGTCCCTACAGAGGACTGAGTCAGCCTCAATCGCATGGAATCGATTCTGCCAAACACAGATCACAGGGGCTCTCATCTTAGGGGTCACCGATTCTGAGATGACTTCACCCAACTCTGTCCATTTACAGGGAAGAATGTGGAGTTGGATCAGGTGTACCCACACTCCCTACAGGAGGCCCCATGTACTCAGATGACCTGGCCACGCTGAGGCTCAGAGATTAGGCCAATGCCCAAGTCGAGTAGCCCCCCGCCCCACTTGGGATTCCAACACTTACCTGTGCTGGTGCGTACCCTCATGATAGCGTCAAATCCTGTAATTTTCTGGACGTCGCTCCTGAGGTCATTCAAGAACGTCTGGCTGTCCAAGTGCTTCTGAAAAAAAAAATTCCTTCCGTCAGCGTCCACCCACGAGTGGGAAAAGCACAAGAAGAGACCCCACCAGAAACACACAGACGTTTACGATTACAACACTCCAGGGAGGTCAGGGTCAGAATGGGCACCATTATTCCCATTTTACAGGTGGGGAGACTAAAGGATGAAACAATTAACTTCCACAGATCTTAGAATGTTAGCGCTGAAAAGGACCTTAGAGGTCGCCTGGTCCGATGACCTCAGTTTACAGAGAGAAAACCGAGGCTCCGTGCTGAGAACCGAGCTCCTTAAAGGCAGGGGTTGTTTCTAGTTTTAACTTTTTCTCTCTAGTGTCTAACATAATACCTGTATACAGTGGGTACTGGATAGAATCATAGAAGCAGAGGTGAAAGTTCTATTGACAAAGAAGCTGAACCCCAAAGAGGTTAGGTGACCCGCCTAAGGTCACACAGCTAGCATGTGTCTGCGACAAGATTCAACCTCAGGCCTTCCTGACTCCAGCTGTGTGCTCTATCTGCTGCCCTGTCTAGCAGCATGTTTCATTCATATTTTAACCTTGTGTATCCCTGTTTGCTAAGCTACCATCCTCACGCCTATGAAATAGTTTCTGAAATCACAACTGAGCAGTGTTTGCTCTGCGTCTGGGTGTCTCCTAGCCTGGCCAGGGAGTAATCAAGCGGACCCTGGCTCTGCCATTCAGCATTTCACACAAGGAAAGGAAAGCAAAGAATCCTCTTGGGGAAAGTGGGAAAACCCACCCCAGGCTGAGTGGACAAAATCCCTGGGAGGACACAGCTTTGTGGAGGATGGGGGGAGCAGAGGAGCCTTGCTGAGGGAGAGACCTCTGACCATGCACGGCCCAGGATGCATCTCCCAGGAGTGCTGGGGGAAGATGCCCTTTTGGGCCCTCTTCTTTGGGGATGTTTTCTGCCTTTTGCAGAACATTAGAACTAGAAAGGACCCAAGAAATCAACTAGTCCAACCTGTCCTCAGGGGTGTGCTGGTAAATGTTTAACAACCAGCTCTCTGAAAATTGGGGATGTACTTTTCAGTTTGATCAGCATCATTAACATTTTCTCCATCACTTTCTCAAATCTAGACAACCAACAACACAATCAACTGAGCCCTGGTTTGTGGCTTTTGCCAATTTCCAAGGTGTAAACACTCACTCCGACAACCAGACAACAGCTCTTGGACGCTTGGTGTAGCTGACTCCAGCACAACCTTGCCTTTTCTTTCCAAAGCTAGGGCTCTTGGATATTCACTTTGCTGCCAATCACTGGATGTGCTAAGCACTCTTAATTCACTTTTTATTCTACTGCCCATTTGGTAATTTTCATTTCATGTATTTCTACGGCCAAAGAATTCGCGACCCAATGACCCAGGGCTGGGTCTCAGGCTCTCTGCTTATCTCAGCTAATCTGTTCCTAGGACCATCCTCAAGGACCACCTTCCAGCATGGTAGAGCCTTCCTGAGCTTACGTTCCCTTGGCATTGTCTCTGAGGATCCAGGGTCCCCTCCACGTCATGAGGGCGATCTTATAGAAAAAAAAAGAGCATCACTAAGAGGACAGTGGGGCAGCTCGAGGGCGCCATAGTGCACAGAGCGCTGGGTTTGGAGTCAGGGAGACTCATCTTCACGAGTCCAAATCTGACCTCAGTCACTCACTAGCTGTGTGACCCTGGGCAAGTCACTTCACCCCATTTGCCTCGGTTTCCTCATCTGTAAAATGAACTGGTTTGCAGGCAAACCACTCCAGTATCTCTGCCGAGAAAATCCTGAAAGGGGGTCACAAAGAGTCAGACATGACTGAAACAACTCAGCCACAACACAGAGGACAGTCATGGTAGGTGTGAACAAGACCACTGAGGAAGTCTGAAAAACCGAAGTATGAGATGTCAGCAGGGAAATGTGGGACAGGAAAAGAAGATGGGCTGGTCGTGTGGTGAGGGAGAGGGAGGCCACGTGAATGGCCAGAGGCTTCTGCTGGCTCTCACAGGCTCGAATTAGGAAGGCCGCCTGTACCTTGGGATGCACTGTGGGTAGCTACAGCCCACCAATGGGCCTTGCTCATAAAGGGCTCTCGAAACGCCGGACAGGAGCGTGCCCACGTACGAATGGTGATCTCTGGAGCAAATTCCCATTGATGAACTCACAGGACCATTAGGACGTTGGGTTTTCATTTGCCCAAAGTATCTCTAATGAAATAAAAACTGGGTAACTGGGTAACAGTTATCTTACTGAAGCCAATGTTGATATTTTAGCCACCACATTTGGGGTCAGAGGACCTGAGGTCAACGCTGCCTCTGCCCCTTCCCTGCCACCTGTGAGACTTTGGTGCAATAGGATTCTAGACTGAGAGATGTGAAGGACCTCGAATCATTCAGGCTAGTGCCTTAATTTGACAGCTGAGGAAACTGAGACCCAAAGAGATAGAGTGGCCTTCCTGGGGACACAGGGAGAGATGATGCCGAATTCCAATTCAGGGTCTCTGAAGCTGCCTAACCTCTCTCTCCTTATTTGCCAAATCAGGAAGGTGGTCTTGACAAGCTCCAGAAATCCTTCCAGTCAAGCTTGTGACCCCATGGTCTAGCTTTGTTTCCCCCACCTCCCCCCAGACCTGCGATGCCACTGGCTGAAGGAGGTCTGGTTGGGGACACTCCTCTACCAACGTAGGTCCACACCACCTCTGCAAACTAGAATCTTAACGACATGGCTGGGGCACTGAGTGCGACGTGACTGTTCAGGGCGTGAAGCCAGCATGAGTCAGAGGCGGGATTTGAACCCAGGCCTTCCTGCCTTTGAGATCGACTGTCCATTCACTACCCTTCGATGATCCTGATTTTCTTCAGTTAAAGTACACAACTCTACATAACTGTCTAGTACACTAAATTCACTTTCCATCCTGTTGGTGAACATGATTCCATTTACTCTGGCTAAATGAACACGTACCCAATATTCTGGGGCCTGGGCACTGGACCCGGGCTCAGAAGACCTAGGTTTGAAATCACCTGAGTGACCGCAGACCACTCCCTCAACCTCTCTGGGCCCCATTTTCCTCTTGTGTCAAGGGAGGGGTTTGGAGTAGACCACCCTTCTGTGTGTTTCTGGTCTGTTTTCCATCTCTGGTTTGTGTTCCGCCCACAAGGGGGCAGAACCCGCAAACTTATGAGGAGCCAGAAACCCAGTAAAATGGGAGAAGCCCATGGCCTCTGGAGGAAACATCTGCTCTTGGGTTGATTACCTGGAAGTTGTTGTATTTATACAGCGTGCCTCCCGTCTGCAGGGTCACCAGGCCCATCGAGGCCACGTCCACGTACTGACTGGGGAAGACGAAGAGGTTCACGCAGCAGCCGTTGGCCACGCAGTCCTTAGCCAGGGTTTCGTAGATGTTTGTCTGTGGCTGGAAGAGCGTCTGAAGGCAGAGATGAAAAAGGAAACCCACACACATGTAAAAAGATTAATTCCTTTCATTAATTTACTTCTAACTAATTATTATTACTTATACATCTAATATATATTAACATACGATATATAATGATTATATATAATAACAGATAATCTAATATATCTAATTAATTATTTCTGATTAATTTCTGATCCTTATCTAAGACGCTCCATCTTCCCTGACTCAAGGCATTTTCCTTGGGTGTCCCTCATCCCCCCTCATCTCAGCCTCCTGGCTTCCTGCAAGTCCCAGCTCAAAGCCCGCCTCCTACAGGAAGCCTGTCCCAATCCCTGTTGATTCCGCTGCCTTCCCTCTGCTCATTATCTTCAGTTTAGCCTGTCTCTAACCTGTTTGTACATAGTTGTTAGAAGGGTGCTTCCTCCATCAGCCTGTGCCCCTTGAGAGCATGGACTGTGTTTTGTCTTTCTTTGTACCCCCAGCACTTAGCGCAGGGCCTGGTATGTAGAACAGGCTTCATAAATCATTATGGACTTGAATTTGAAGGTAGCTGAAAGCTAAACCAGCTCATGGATTCATAGTTTGAGAGCCTCAAAGGGCCTCATAGGCCAATCTAGACCAATCCTTTCATTTGACAGAAGAAAATGAGGCTCATAGGAAGGCAAAGACTCGTACCCTGTCCAGGGAGAGAAGCCCGTCTGGTTCCCATCCTAGTGAGTGGAGCCAGTGAGACTGAAGGCCCAGTCTCAGCCCAGGAGGGAATGGCATGAGGCTCAGATCCCTGGGCCTCAGTTTCTTCATCTCAAAGGGCCTTTCTAAGTCTCCCTGCTATGGCCTCACCAGCTTGCTAATAGGCATGCCCAGAGCCCCCGGATTTGGGTAGCCATCAAAGAATCTCTGGCTCTGCCACTCTTTCCACCTCTGGCCTCCAAGGGAAATGGAGTTGTGTGACATTTGTCTTCTTTCTGTCCCCTTCCCCATTAGAACAGGTCTACACCCTCTGTACGAAGTACAGGTC